AGAACAACTAGACAGCCTCTCAAGAAGGATAGAGAAGACTGGAACAGCACTGTAACGCAAATAGACTGAACACCATTTCTAGAACACCCCACCCAACAACACGCACACGCACACGCACATCCTTCTCGAGTGCACGTAGAACATTGCCTGCTGATTTTGTGCCATCATGCGGCGTGTGTTATACTCTGTTTGGCTCCCTTCCCTCCACAATACCCTTGCAAGATCCATGTTGATGTGTGGCTCCAGTTTGCCCATTTTTATTGCTCTATTTTAGTCTATTTTATGATCAGAACACTTTATTTATCCACTGTTCTATTGTGAGATATTTGAATTGTCTCTACTCTTTGGCTATTTCAAGTAATGTTGTATAACCCTGCATGTGTATGTGTTTGGGTACGTGTATGCACATTTCTGAGGGTCTGTACGTAGGAGTGAAAACACTAACGGAACATGCTTCCATCCCCTGTAGTAGCTAGTGCTGAATGATTTTCCAACATGGTATGAAAACTGAGCTATTCTCAGGAGTATCAATGTCCCACTGCTGCATAACAAAGTAATCAAAGCTTAGTGCTTTTTTTTTTTTTTTAAGATTTTTTTATTTATTTATTTGACAGAGACAGAGACAGTGAGAGCAGGAACACAAGCAGGGGGAGCGGGAGAGGGAGAAGCAGGCCTCCCGCTGAGCCAGGAGCCCGACGTGGGACTCGATCCCAGGACCCCGGGATCATGACCTGAGCCGAAGGCAGTCGCTTAACCAACTGAGCCACCCAGGCGCCCCAAAGCTTAGTGCTTTTAAACAGTAGGCATTTTCTTTTATCTCATGGATGTCTGGGTCAGGAATTCAGGCTATTTAAGGGTAATGTTTGAAAGGCTGTGTCCTCCCTAACCATGGTTTCCCTTTCCACTGTTTCAGTTACCCACAGTCAGCTGAGGTCCAGAAGCAGATCCTCCTCCTAATGTAGCATCAGAAGGTCAATAGTTGCCTAACACTAAATACATTTAATTAAAAATTAATAACATTTCATTAATTCTTTTATTAATAATTATGTCATTGCTATTATTCCTAGAATGGTAGCCATTAAAATATTAACAGATACTGGACGCCTGGCCTGGGTGGCTCAGTTGGTTAAGCGTCCAACTCTTTTTTTTTTTTTTTAAAGATTTTATTTATTTATTTGACAGAGAGAGACACAGCGAGAGAGGGAACACAAGCAGGGGGAGTGGGAGAGGGAGAAGCAGGCTTCCCGTTGAGCAGGGAGCCCGATGCAGGGCTCGATCCCAGGACCCCGTGATCATGATCTGAGCTGAAGGCAGTCGCTTAACCAACTGAGCCACCCAGGCGCCCTCTTTTTTTTTTTTTTTTTTTAAGATTTTATTTGTTTATTTGACAGAGAGAGACACAGCGAGAGAGGGAACACAAGCAGGGGGGGTGGGAGAGGGAGAAGCAGGCTTCCCGCTGAGCAGGGAGCCCGATGCGGGGCTCGATCCCAGGACCCCGAGATCATGACCTGAGCTGAAGGCAGACGCTCAACGACTGAGTCACCCAGGTGCCCCAAGCGTCCAACTCTTGATTTGGGCTCAGGTCATGATCTCAGGGTCAGGGCCCATGATGGGCATTGAGCCTGCTTAAGATTCTCTCTCTCCCTCTGTCCCTCCCTCTCCCTCTCTAGAAAGAAAAAAAAAAAAAAGAAAAATTAATTTAAAAAATTAACAAATACTATCTTTGGATAGTTGCATATAGGTGATCTTTCTTTTCATTTTTAAAAAGTTTTGTCATATGTGCAAAAAGCATTTATTACCTTTGTAATCCAAAATAAACCTATAAAATCTTTGGATTTATCTAAAAAATTATTTTTTAACTTTATTTCTTAGAGCACTGTTAGGTTCACAGCAAAGTTGAGCAGAAAGGAGAGATTTGCCATATCTCATCTGCCCCCAAACACACACAACTTCCCCCACTATCAACATTGTCAGACATTTGTCATAATCAGTGAACGTAACCTGATGCATCATTATCACCCAAAGGCCAGAGTTTACATTAGGATTTACTATGGTGTCACACACCATCATTGTAGTATCATACAGAAGAGTTTCTTTGCCTAAAAATTCTCTGTCCTGTTCATCCTTCCCTCCCTACTCCTCCCTGGTGACCACTGATCTTTTTACTGTCTGCATAGTATTTTTTTTTTGGTTTTTTTTAAATTTTATTTTATTATGTTATGTTAGTTACCATACAATACATGATTAGTTTTTGATGTAGTGATCCACGATTCGTTGTTTTTGTATAACACCCAGTGCTTCATGCAGTACGTGCCCTCCTTTATACCCATCACCAGGCTAACCCATCCCCCCACCCCACCCCCCCTAAAACCCTCAGTTTGTTTCTCAGAGTCCATAGTCTCTCATGGTTCATCTCTCCATCCAATTCCCCCCCTTCATTTTTCCCTTCCTTCTCCTAATGTCCTCCATGTTATTCCTTATGTTCCACAAATAAGTGAAACCATATGATAATTGACTTTCTCTGCTTGACTTATTTCACTTAGCATAATCTCCTCCAGTCCCATCCATGTTGATGAAAAAGTTGGGTATTCATCCTTTCTGATGGCTGAGTAATATTCCATTGTATATATGAACCACATCTTCTTTATCCATTCATCTGTTGAAGGGCATCTCGGCTCTTTTCACAGTTTGGCTTTTGCAGACATTGCTACTATGAACGTTGGGGTGCATATGGCCCTTCTTTTCACTAAATCTGTGTCTTTGGGGTAAATACCCAGTAGTGCAATTCCTGGGTCATAGGGTAGCTCTATTTTTAATTTTTTGAGGCACCTCCACACTGTTTTACAAAGTGGCTGTACCAACTTGCATTCCCACCAACAGTGTAAGAGGGTTCCCATTTCTCCACAACCTCTCCAACATTTGTTGTTTCTTGCCTTGTCAATTTTTGCCATTCTAACTGGTGTAAGGTGGTATCTCAATGTGGTTTTGATTTGAATTTCCCTGATGGCTTTAGCCTTGCCGGATAAAGTATTCTTGGCTGCATGTTCTTCTCATTTAGTATCCTGAATATGTCTTGCCAGGCGTTTCTGGCTTGCCAGGTCTCTGTGGATAGGTCTGACGTTATTCTGATGTTCCTCCCTCTGTACATAAGGACTCTCTTCCCCCTAACTGCCCTTAAGATAGTTTCCTTCCTTCTAAGATTTGCAAGTTTTACTATTACATGCCAGGGTGTTGGCCTGTTTTCCTTGATCTTGGGAGGGGTCCTCTCTGCCTCTAGGACACGAATGTTTGTTTCATTCCCCAGATTAGGGAAGTTCTCAGCTACGATTTGCTCAAATATATCTTCTAGTCCTCTCTCTCTCTCTCCACCCCCTCAGGAATCTCAAGAATTCTGACATTGGAACGTTTCATGGTGTCACTTATTTCTCTGATTCTATTTTCATGGATTCTGAGTTGTTTTTCCCTGGCCTCCTCTTTTCCCTTTTTGTCTATTAGTTGGTCTTCTGGGTCACTAATTCATTCTTCTCCTCGCTTACCCTGTTAGATTATCTAGATTAGATTGGATCTCATTGATAGCATTTTTAAATTCTGTCAATTCAGCTTTCATTTCTGCCCTTAGAGACTCCATGTTGCCATTAATTGATTTCTCCATTCTAGCTATTGTCTTCACAATTGCTAGCCTGAATTCCATCTCTGACATCTTGGTTTATCTGCATCCATTTGTAAATCTGCGGCATAAATCATAATCTCTGAGTCTTTCCTATTTTGGGCGTTCCTCCTCCTAGTCATTCTGTTGAAGGATGGTTGAGGGAATGTATAGAGTCCAAATTATTGACCACAACCCAAGCAAGATGCACCTGTTTTCTAGGGACCTTAGCGTTGCTGGCCTCTTGTTCTCCCAGCCTGTCTTCTGGGGGAGGGGCCTGCCGTACTGTTACTCAGGCAACCCTGTTTGGGCAGAGTTGCCCTGCCCCCTGTGGCAGGGGATGGGCTCAGTGAAAACTGGTTTTGGGGGGCTTTTGTTCTCTGACAGCTTTCCCTGGCGGCTTTCCACGTCCCTTCCGAGAGTCAGAGCAGAAGAGACCGTTTCCAGCCCTCTGCCTCAGAGCAGAGAGATGGCAGTCTGTTCTTCAGTGAGCTCTCCAGGCCACACCATCTCCGTTTCTGTCCGTGCTGCTATAAACTGCAGTGGCCTGGGTTGTGCGCCCCTCTGCAGCGCCCCCAGTCCTGCCTCCAGGTCGGGGCACGTCTCTGCCCTTTGTGCTTCTAAAACCGCCAGCTGCTCCCAGTTCATGCGCATGACCCCACCGCTCCAGGTTTCTGTGTGGGGGCACTGCCCTGAAGTCCTTTCCCCACTGCTACTGGTCTGTGAGTCTGTGCCCGGTCCCCAGCGTGGAAGGCGGTCGCTCACCGGCGGTGTAGGATCCCCACAGCCAGGCACCCTCCCGCTGCCGTTTATCCTCCAATATCTGCCCACAGAATCATGCTTCAGACCTGGAAACCAACTGCCCGCAATATTCTGTTTGTAGAGATCCAGATCTATCTTCTTACATCTCAGGCTGATTTCATGGGTGTTCAGAGTGGTCTGGTAGATATCCAGCTCAATTCCAGGGACCTGCTGGAATAGGGTCCCCTACTCCTCCACCATCTTTTCCCCCCTCCACTGTCTGCATAGTTTCGCCTTTTCCAGAATGTCATGTGGTTGGAATCAGAGTATGTAGCCTTTTCAGGTCTTTTTGACTCCATAATATGCATTTAAGTTCCTCCATATCTCTTCTGGGCTTGATAGTTCATTTCTTTTTAGTGCTGGAAAATATTCCATTGTCTGGATATTCCAGTTAACATATCCATTCGACCTACTGAAGGATATCTTGGTTGCTTCCAAGTCTTGGAAATTATGGATAAAGCTGCTATAAACATCCACGTGCAGGTTTTTGTGTGGACATAAGTTTTCAATTCATGTGGGTAAATACCAAGGAGTATGACTGCTGGATCATATGGGAGAAGTATATTTAGTTTAATGTAATTTATAAACTTCCCCAAAGACAAACCCTCCTACGTAATATAACAACTATAAACTCTAGACAAACTACAAAAACCAATTCTCTTAGGGCTCCACAGAGTCAACAAAGGCAGATTTTGGAAGAGAGCTAAAACATGTAAGGCATCAATATACGGTGAGCTTCCTGGATTTGTGGCTTTCGTCTAAAGTGAAACACAGCCAAAATGGGGCCAAGAAGAGCTGATGTTCTCATTGAAAACAACTTCCTTTCAACCTGAGGGAGGCAGAGCCCAAGACAGAAAGTGAAGGGAAAATTCAGGAAAGAAAAAAGGCAGATGGGGAAGCTCCACATTCTACGTGTAAGCTCTGCCCAAGTCTCTGGCTGACCTCTGAAACCACACATGTTGCAGAGTAGATTGCAAACAGGTCCGCTAAGAAAAAAAAAAAAAAAGGATTGAACTGACATTTGAACTGCTACCCACCAAAGGTAAGATATGTTACGGTTTGAGTCTAAGCCTGTTAATTGCCTACCAAAAGAAAAGCACCTCATTGGAGGAATATATAATAGAGTCCAGATTTTCTTCAGCATAACATTCACAATGTCCAGGATATAATCCCAGAACACTGGACATATGAAGAACCAGGAAAAGGTGGGTCAGCGGGGGTGGGGCAGGGGACAATCAACAGAGACCAAACCCAAGATGACCCAGATGTGTCGCTATCAGACAAGAACTGAAAAGCAGTTATTATAAGTATGCTTTGTGAACTTTAATATTAAGCTCGTAATGAACGGAAAGGTTGGAAATGTTAGGAAAAGAATATAAAAAAGAATCAAATGGAAATTTTAAAACTTTTTTAAAAAAGATTTTATCTGAGAGAGAGTGAGAGAGAGAGAGAGAGCAGGAGTAGAGGGAAAAGCAGACCCTCTGCTGAGCAGGGAGCCCGATGTGGGGCTTGACCCCAGGGCCCTGGGATCATGACCTGAGCCGAAGGCAGACGCTTAACGACTCAGCCACCCAGGCGCCCGGAAATTTTAAAACTTAAAACAATATCTGAAATAAAAATTCACAGGATGGTCTTTAATATCAGAATGGACATAGCAAACAAAGTCAGTGAACTTAAACACAGATTTTTTTTTAAATGCCTCAGAGATCTGTAGAACAGTATCAAATGATATTTTTAAAGATTTTTTTTTTTTTTTTAGAGAGAGCACAAGCAGGGGGAGGGGCAGAAGGAGATGGAGAGAGAGAATCCTCAAGCAGACTCCCTGCTGAGCACGGAGCCTGATGGAACCAGGGCTCTATCCCAGGACCCTTGAGATCATGACATGAGCTGAAATCAAGAGTCAGACACTCAACCGACTGAGCCACCCAGGCGCCCCTAGAACAGGATCAAATGATTTGACATAGCTTTAATTGGAGTCCCAGGAAGAGAAGAGGGAGCAAATAGCACAGAAAAAAAACCCCAAAACTTTTGAGTAAATAATGGCCCCAAATATCCAAAATTTGGTAAAGCACAAAAACTTTTTTGTGTGGACATAAGTCCAAAATCTAAGCAAACCTCAAACAGGATAAATACCAAAAAAAGTACACCTTGGCATATCATAAAGTGCTGAAATCCAAAAATAAAGAAGATCGTGGAAGAAGCCAGAAAAAAAGGATACATCTAGGGAAACAACAATTTGAATGACCAGCTATCACACTGGAAAAATCTTGGAGGCTAAAAACAGTGGAAATCTTTATAGTGTTGAAATAAAACAAATACTCAAAAAATATTTGCTTCAACTGATGTTTAGAAGAGATTTTGTATTTGAAGACAGGTCTGGAATCAAAAGTAGCGTAATAGAATTAGATATCTAACTGCTAATACCCCAAACTGATTTTAAAATACTCTTTTCAGGAATACCCAAACAAAAATTAGGAATCCTTCAATGATTACCTGTTTTCTCCCTGTCTTTTGTATTTTAAAGGCAACTTTATCAATGGTCCTTAAATGTAAAAATGTGTCATTTCTTAAGATAAACACTTAAAATTTTAAATAGCCATTGTTGGAAAGGCTGATTGTTTCCAATTTTTGTAGCATTATGATTTTCCACTTAAAAAAAAAAAAAAGCAATCCAATCCATCAAATTGGAACCTGCATTTAGGGGGAAAGGAAGCAGAAGAGAACGACATAGGCTTGTTGGCTCCGACTACCAATAAAGCAAGGTAACTCTCAAGCACATCTTCCAGTGTCAAGATTTGTCTGGCAGCTTACCGCACAGGATGTCTGACATTTTATGTCCATAGCCATGTCCATCAATCTTGGTCAAAAGCAGAACTGCCTGTTTCTATGTGTTCACCTGGGATTACTTTTCTCAAATATAAATAAATAATCTATCTTTCAACGATTACTTCTCTCCAAGTATTTGATTGCCATTTTTCAGGTGTCCTGCCTTTGTTTCTGCTTTGCTCTGGGACTTCCAGTTAAGCCAACTATGTCTGCTTCGGGGACGTAGCTCAGGATATGGCAGGCAATAGGGCCTTTTTTGGTTTTTAAAATGTCACCAGTCAAGGGCGCCTGGGTGGCTCAGTTGGTTAAGCGACTGCCTTCGGCTCAGGTCATGATCCTGGAGTCCCTGGATCGAGTCCCGCATCGGGCTCCCTGCTCGGCGAGGAGCCTGCTTCTCTCTCTAACCCTCCCCCCTCTCATGTACTCTCTCTCTCTCTCATTCTTGCTCTCTGAAATAAATAAATAAATCTTTAAAAAAAATAAAATAATAAAATGTCACCAGTCAATTCCCTGGAAGCTGAACTATTTCCCTAGAGAACCAGTAAAAATCAGTGCACTCCTTCAAAAGAACTGATCATGCAGCTTTTATTTACCACTTAGTATCTTCTTGGGCATGGGTAGAATGTTCCTTTCAAATAGGTCGATCACATGCTTAACTAGCTCAACACATATTGCAAGGGAGTCTATGAAGACTTCACGTATAAAATACAAAAATCTGTTACATATACATCCATCTAACAGCGGTTTGTACATTACAATGAGTTCCAGTGTCGAAATAACCCCCTGTACCTAACTAGCAGCATGAGCAGACTGTGGCAACAGCCCGCAGAAATGCCCCCCAAAGGGCAGGCCACACAGTGCAGTCGCTGCGAGAGCACAGATCAACAAGGTCACATCTTTTTCTTGTTGGTGCACACACAAGGAAAAGATGGAAGGGGAGAGCCTTGGGGATTTGGCAGTGGTCAGTCTTACTGGCAGGTAAACCGTCACAGGCAGTTGTAAATGGGACACAATCATTCATTAAAGAAACTCCTGCTTTTTCTCACCGAAAACACAACTTTATGCTACTTTCATTGTTTTGATTTCCAATTGCCAAACTTCGGGTCCCTCCTTTTCACATACCTAATAATTTTGCGAAGTTCGACCTAAGTGCACTAATTTCAAGAGGAAGGTGTTCAGTAATTAAGCTCTCCAAATCAGATACTTGTATGACAAGTAGCACTGAATATTCCCAGGGGGATAAAATAATAAAAATCCATTCCAGAGAGCTTTGGAGAATGAGGGCCAAAGACATAAACACGTGTGGGTCCTTTCGCCATTGGTTCACCAGTATCAACATCCCAAAATGACAAACTCTCAGTTATTAATCCTTTTAATAAATATGTGCCCACCCAACACAAGCTGCAATGGGACACCATGATTTCACATTACCAGTCATGCCAATGACTTGGCTGGTCGAGGGGAAGGCATTAAGAGTGTAACTCGGCATTGTGCTTATAGAAAGCGACAATAAATGAACTCAACAGCACTGCGCACAAAGGTTTAAGAGTCAGCCCCACTCTCAGCACCATGGGAAATTCCCAGCAGTGAATAACAGAAAGTTTAAAAAGCATAAAACTTGATGAGGTGAAACACTCCGTATGGGCCGAGAGCACAATTCTTGCCCTCATCCTCTTTCAGAAAACAGCTGACCTGCACGGCATTCTTGCCTCAGAGGCGTATCCCAGGGCCTGTAAATCAAAGTCAGAGGGCACTCAGCAGAGGGGGAAATACTGAACTGGAAAACACCAAATTCTATGAGGCCACACGCTTTCTGAAAAATAGCCAAAGTGGATTTTCCCCCCAGGCACAAGCCATTCTTAAGTGGGAGTCCATGAGAAGCTCCTTACAATTCATGCTACTAAAACCCACAATTATATTTAGTATCATCTAAGAGGATGTTTTTTCAAACTGTGCACTACAACACATTTATAAGTCAGGAAATGAATTTAGTGGGTCTGAAGAGCATTTAAAATGGTTGTGGGGGGATCAAAGTATATTACACATAGTTAAAGAGTATGTATTATTATCACTCCTCGGCCTTTTGGCTAAGATAAGTGAAGAGTGTATATTATTTCACAAAACATTTATTTCAGTTAAAGATTTTATATTCGTTCACACACACACACACACACACACACACACAATTTCTGGGTCAAGATGTAAGAAGTTATTTTTATTCTGGTCACAGTCAATACAATGGTCTATAGAGACCACCAAAAATAATAACCATGGAGTTTCCACCGTGGAAACTGTAAAACCAATTTTGTGCTTGGAATCCAAGGTGAGCTAGAGTCGTCAGTTGACCATAAATACTTGCGTTAGGCTTGGTTTTCCCCCTGACCCTACACCCTTAGGCAGGGGTAGAGCAGTAAAAACAAAAAACAAACAAAAAAACCCTAGCTGCAATTGTTTACTTTGAGTGATATCATGTTATTCCCAAATGGCTAATTAAGAGGTTTGCCCTCCTATTCCATAATCATACTGTTAGCCTAAAAATGGGTGGAAAATTTTAAGTCATCTTCACAGTTTGGAGATTATAAATGTTTGTCTAAACCAAAGCGGTCATGATTTTGTTGTTGATTTGGCTTTTTGCAAAGTATGCAACCACAGATACAGAGAGAAGAAGCAATCTTGTCCTAAAGTATTTTCATCTGCCTGTAAAAGGACGATCAGAATGATCACATGGAGATCAAAGTCTCTCTTTCAACCTGTGAAGATGCTAAACAATCATCTTCTAAAAACTGATCATCTAAACGATGTGTTCAGTGTTCAGCTTCAGAGTTTCAGGAATCCCATGGTACTCAGATAATGGGTCGGTCGGCTTCCGGTGCAAGGACTGTTGTGCATGCCTCATCTCAGGAGCTTCTCGGGCAGACCAGGGGCAGCACTAGGCAGGGCATCTAACCCTGGGTCCCAGCCTCGGCACAGGCCGCATGGCGGAAGCTATGTCATCTCCTAGCCTCCCTGAGGCGTAAAACAAAGGGGTTAAATTAAGTGAGTTAGAGAGTCCCTTCCTGAAGTAACTTTATTTACTTTGGATGCAGTTCTAAGACTTTTATCCAGATTGCTCTGCAACTCTGCCTATTGCTTTACTAACAGCTTTAATTCTTTTCATAACTATTTCCGTCAGTTTCACCAACAACCACCTCTCAAACATCCAAGGTCCCATTAAGCTCACTAGGCCCAGACACTTAAAAATCAAGTAAAATAGGGGTGCCTGGGTAGCTCAGTCATTAAGCGTCTGCATTCGGCTCAAGTCACGATCCCAGGGTCCTGGGATCAAGCCCCACACTGGGCTCCCTGCTCCGCGGGAAGCCTGCTTCTTCCTCTCCCACTCCCCCTGCTTGTGTTCCCTCTCTCGCTGTGTCTCTCTCTGTCAAATAAATAAATAAAATCTTTAAAAAAAAAAAAAATCAAGTAAAATAAAGCTAGTAAGGAACAAAATTTAAGGCATTTTTTTTTTTTATTTCAGCCAAGGAATGATGCATGCTACAGATTAATCTTTACTTTTCCCCACTTGGTTTTTCAAAGAATACCACCATTTCAACCCCCAGTGAACATGGCACTTGTTTCTTTCTTCCCCTTCTAATTTATTCCAGATTTTCAAGTGTTTTCTTCAGTAATGATGCTTTCTCCTGCAGCTCAGGTCTGCTGTCTGCCTCCATAGTAGCTAAAGACTCGATTAGGAGCACTCTGCACTCAGATGTCAAACTTTCCCACTGTTTAGATTCTGAATGGAAAAAGAAGAAAAACAGAATCCTTATAGAACAAGCAAGCAAAAAGCCTAAAACTATTCTTTCTGCTTTTCTTCCATATAGCCTATCCCCCGAATAAATGCAAAGCAACCCCCTGATAACAGTTTGGTATAGAACAGGTTCAATAGTTGTCTCAAAACCTAATTATTGACAATAATCTGAGAGCATGTCAGGGAGTTTCATCCTCTGCCCCAGTACTGGTGGGACAAAGAGAATCTAGGGATGCTGAATCAAAGTGCGAAGGAGGAGTTATCAAGGCAAAGCACACAGTAACAAAAAAGCATTTTTAACACACAAAAAAACTCTTTATAAAATATGCTCAGTAAAAAAATCTTGAATAAATTTCATAATGGCCAAGTCAGTCTGAACAGACAACAGACAACAATTACTCCTTTCTTTAAAGCACTAGAAATCTATATACATACTAAAAATTTTAGAAACTCAAAGTATACCAGATCCTAAATCTTGTCTATGAGGTTCTGCCACTTTCTAGTGATAAGGTTTCAAGCAAGTTGTTTTGCTGTTTAGCCTCATTTTCCTCATCTAGAATACATTCGTATGCATCTGGCTAATTGTGAAAATTCAGTGATGTGACTAAGTGCCTAGCTCTTTTACTTCAACAAGGAAAAGATGATGAGGTGTGTAGTGTTACTGAGTCTAAAAGGCCTGCTTCATGGAACCTTAAGGGGGGTGCTTTAATTGCTAAGCAGAAAGAGAAGTAGAAACAGCAAATAAAGACTCTAGAGGAAACTGTTCCATCTTCTCCATTCTTAATCCATAGGCTTAGAATAATTAAAAAAGAAGAGAAAGAACAAAAGTGGCCTCCTTTTGAAATACCCCACTGGAGAAAATCAGAGCAGTTTTCTTTTATCATTAGAAGAAATCTGCTTCTTGATAAAAGGTTTTAAAAAAAAAAAAAAGGAATAGGGGAAAAAAATAAGATTAAGCAAACTGCTGTCAAATTTGATGAGTTGGGTAGGTAAGTGTTAAAATGTTTTCCCAACCCCACTCTTCAGGGATCACTCTGTTTCTTGGCGTGTGTACTGGGAGCCCCATTCTGCCACTGGAAGTGACCCAGATTACATCAGGAGTCATGGCGGAAACAGAACTTTTTTATTTCAACATAACTGTAGCTTCATAATACATTAAAAGTATATAAAATGAAAAAGTACCAAATTTAAACACTTAATAAAATTTAAAGGTTTTAGCTTTGTAGATCTCACTCACATGTCCGTGTACTAATTTGTACTTTAGAGTATACACTTATTAAAAACAAAAGCAGGAAAAAATTTCTAAAATATATGCCATAAAGTATCCTGGCTTTCTGGCCCTCTTCCAATCAGAAGAATCAAGAACTCACCTTCCTCCCCCTCTCCCACTCTCCCTACTTACGTTCCCTCTCTTGCTGTGTCTCTGTCAAATAAATAAAATCTTAAAAAAAAAAAAAAAAAAACTCACCTTCAAGTTTTTTAAGCAGTAATTCTATCACAGATAAAGCTTCTGTTCTCACAGATGAGTAGGTCTTATTTTCTAAGAGGAAAATCAGATATTCACATTATTTGTTTTATACGCCTTACAAACAGAACCTCCAAGATTAAGTTAGTGTTACTGGAAGAAAGATATTCAGAAATTACAAATTCAGGGAAAGATACACCTGTTCTTAAGTAAGCTTCACTTTGCTCATTATCATCAAATACTTGAAATGCGTTACATGTCCATATTCCTTACTTAAGAAAAAAAAACCAAAAAACTGTCATATACCAATATACCAATGTAACTGTCATATACCCAATATACCAATCACCACAACAGATGGCAATATTTCAAGGACCCATTTTAGAAGTGAGAACTCAAAGGACACTATCTCAAACACAGAGTTGTCGTCACATGATACCTAAGAAAGGTCTTTAGGTTTGCATGACTTCCTCATTTTATCAGAGAACATTACAGAACCCAGAGGCCTAAGGGCAATCAGGGACACCTGGCTGAGACCCTGCAGAGACTAGTGTCTTAGCAGCCAGTTTTTTATTCGAAGGCAGGCTACCTCCAAGAGTTGCAACTGAAAGAGGCGTCTCTGGTGTCTATTCTAGACACAGCATCTTGTTCAGGGTGAAACTGTCTACGGAAAAAATTAATACACAGCCAAACCTGAGGCAAGGAAAGCACAGGGTGAGCTTATAACATCCTTTTTATGCTACGAAGTACAGAGGTGCCTAAAAGGATGACAGTGACCTGCCAATAAGACATAGGAGCTTTTCCACTGGCCAAAGCTGGAACAATTTGAGCAAAAAATTAATTAAGGAAAATAATTAATTATAAACTGGTGGGGTGGGGAGAAAATCCACAAATCAGTACTGTTAACAGATCAATAAAGAGGTAGGGAGAGGTGGGATCTTGTTTACAAGAGGATGCCAACTGCCAAATGATAGATATGGAGAAAGCACCAGAGTTGGAAAATCATCTTAGTAAAAGCTGGTTCAGGGAGAAACCACGGATGCATGGTCTAAAGAGGATGTTTTGAAAAGGCGCAGTGTATCTGCATGGTCTTGGGAGTATCTTCTGACTGCTGGTTAGACACACTTTACAAAAGGAGCAGGGTGTCTGAATGGTCTTAAAGTGTGTTCCCACAGGCTGCTTATCAGACACAAGGGAGAAATTTAGTAACTATACAATAAAGAAAACTGAGTAGTACCTTGACCAGGTAATCAAAATTAACATCGCCAAGTAGGGCAGATGAACACTCTATGCCTCTTGAAGTGAGAGCACACAGCCTCACTTTCGGAGTATCCCAACTGGGAATTCATAACCTGGATCCAATCGTGAGCATACATCAAACAAACACCAAATGAGAAACACTCTAGCTTCAACTAGGCCGGTGGGGCGGGAGGGGGGGCTTTTCTTCAAAATTGTCAATGTCATGTGAGGTAAAGGAAGGCTGAGGAAGTGTCCTAGACTCAAGGAAACTAAAAAGACACAACAGCTAAAATCAGTGAATAATCCTGGATTCCTTACTGGAGGGGAGGAGGAGAAAGTCTATAAAAGAACACTGTCAAATCAACTGAACCTAAAATATAAATGGAAAAAATGTGATTAAGCCCACAGCGTCAGCGTCATACAACCTACGACTGGTAACGGTCCTGAGATGGTATGGAAGATGGCACACTGAAGAGTTCAGGAGTAAAAGGGCATGACATTAGCAACATGCTGTCAAACGGCTCCAGAAAAAAATATGTACACGGAAGTACAAATGATGAAGTAACTGACACAAAATATTAACAGGTGACTTTGGGTAAAGGATATACAGATATTGGGCGCCTGGGTGGCTCAGTCGGTTAAGCGACTGCATTCGGCTCAGGTCATGATCCCAGGGTCCTGGGATCAAGCCCCACATCGGGCTCTCCCTATTCTGTGGGGAGCCTGCTTCTCCCTCTGCCTCTGCCTGCCACTCCCCCTGCTTGTGCTCTCGCTCTCTCTGTGTCAAGTAAATAAATAATCTTTTTTAAAAAAGGATATACAGCTATATGTACTGTAACTGCAGCTTTTCTGTAAGTTTGAAATTATTTCCAAGTAAGGGTAAAAAAAAAAAAAAAACTATCACAAACGTTTTCCCAATCTAGGGGTTAAAATCCTAAATTACAGCTCCAGACTAATATACCACAGTGTGGGGCCAAGGTCAAGTAGATGAAGTAGCTCAGCAGCTGTTCCATAAATCTAGCTCCAAGCACAAGGGAGGGAACATCTGAAGTTTCACTCCTTGAACTTGAAAATGAGAGGCCTCCTGGGGCACCCGCGTGGCTCAGTCGTTGGGCGTCTGCCTTCGGCTCAGGTCATGATCCCAGGGTCCTGGGATCGAGCCCCGCGTCGGGCTCCCGGCTCAGCGGAAAGCCTGCTTCTCCCTCCCCCACTCCCCCTGCTTGTGTTCCCTCTCTCGCTGTGTCTCTCTGTCAAATAAATAAATAAAATCTTTAAAAAAAAAAAAAAGAGAGGACTCCTTACCACTGTCAGTTCACCACACTCACCTAAAGAGTAAGTGATTGATTTACAAGTTTCAAGGAGAATTTCAGCCAAAGCCTCAGGATCTGCATGTTCTTCTTCCAAAATCATTAATCTGTACAAATCAGAAAACAAGATACAAATTGCTAGTTATGAAGAAACATTCTAAAACCTTTCTGGCACAAATAATTTCTATCTGCATATATCACTTTCTGATGTCACTGCAGCTTTTCAGTTTTAAAATAAAAGAATTCCCTCTTAATCTCAGGAAACAAACTGAGGGTTGCTGGAGTGGGGGGCGGGGGTGGGATAGGGTGGCTGGGTGATGGACACTGGGAAGGGTATGTACTATGGTGAGCGCTGTGAATTGTGTAAGACTGATGAATCACAGAACTGTACCCCTGAAACAAATAATACATTATATGTTAATAAAATTAATTAAATAAAATAATTCTACTGATTCACTATAAAATGCTACTGGGGGGCGCCTGGGTGGCTCAGATGGTTAAGCGTCTGCCTTCGGCTCAGGTCATGATCCCAGGGTCCTGGGATTTCGAGTCCCACATCGGGCTCCCGGCTCAGCGGGGAGCCTGCTTCTCCCTCTGACCCTCTCCCCTCTCATGCTGTTTCTCTCTCGCTCGCTCTCTAAAAAATAAATAAATAAAATCTTTAAAAAAAATAAAAAATAAAATGCTACCGGGGCAGGAGAGACAAACAAATGAGTGAACTAGAAGCAAAATTACCCCTGAAAAAAGGCGTTCATGGACTGTAGGACTCCGAGCTGCACTTTCCACGTGCTCAGTTTTAGCCGTTCACATAGCAACTTGCACAGCTCCCAACGGTAACAACCTGGGGAGAGCAGGGCAGAGAATGGGCAGGGCCAAGAGACAGAGCAAGTGGGGGACACAGACAGGGACAGAGAGAAATTGGAGCAGAGAAGGACAGAGGGACAGGGAAAGGAGAGTAGAAGAGAGGAAAAAAATAAAATAGCAAATGCCTTTAATTAAAGCCATGAAATCTCAAAAAAATTTCAGCCTGACTTTGTGCCCAATTCCCAAATTTCCCTGGCCAGGAACACGCCCCACCCCACCCCTGTTCAAAAATGTTGGCTCTCCAAGGAACGAACACAGAATCTTAACCACACTACCTTTCCCTGTAAGATACCCTGAGTGATAGCCAGAGAAAGCAGAACTCGGGAGGCAGGGAACTCGACTTGGGACACATCCAAGCTTCTGTGCCTGGTTGGCTTATCAAGAGACAACGATGCCTATTCCAAACATGTTATGCCAACTGCACTTGTTATAATTACATAATTACTATTATGCTAACTGATGAAAAGGAGTATAAAGCTCAACAAAGTAGTTATTTCTTAAATACTGTAAAATTTAGTAGGGTTCACAAATGATGAATGGTGGTAAAAATCTAGAAGAATTCTGTTGCACTTGATTTGTTTCGTAAGAAATTGTAAGTTCTTTTTCCACTATAAAGAACCAGAAACCGGAAATTGTAGATGTGCGTAAGAAGCCAGTGTGGAATAGTTCAATTCTCAAAGGCCTTAGCCCTCCCTTCAATAACTAGCAAATGAATGTACATTCCTATGCCTTCTATGAAAATAAACTGCTTTGTTTTGAGATGTATGTCATCTTTTTTTACAGAATTCGCTACTCTAACTTTTCTACCTATCAAGCAAAAATTAGGAGTCCTAATGGTGTCAATAAAGTGAACTTCCGCTGTGGTAGTCAACGTAATACCAAGAAATAAGGCCACTTAACAACGCTCCATCTTTTGGAAAATCCTTCTAGTATGTAGCAAATAGGCCGTAAAAAGCTCACACAAAGATGGCAAGGTTCAAAGACAACCTTAAGTCTGAGTTTAGACATGTCCAGTCCTGAATAATCAGTAATGTTCTGTGTAACATTTGAGAATACGGAGATGTTCAGCAGGGTGCACTGGAGGAAGCAACACCAGGCCAACTTAGGAGCAGCGTCATCCCGCGACTAAGGCCCTATGAATGAACTACAACTAAATCAACAACAAAGGTTTAGTGGTTATTTACTTAATCCTTTGGAAATACATGTTCAATTTAAAAATCTCTCAAAAAGTTGCAAGTTTCTCAGTGAAATACAGATTTCACCTCTTTATTGAAGATTTGGTAACAAGGCCCTTAATTTCGAGATGGAAAGAACCCACTAGTGAAAATTCTACAGATTCCTCAGAACAGAGCATTTACGTAAAAGAGTACCAGAATTCTTTTTATGGCCAAACTATCTACATAAAATGTATCATGACTGTTACGGGTTGAACTGTGTCCCCCAAATTCGTATGCTGAAGTCCTAACACCAACTACCTCAGAAGGTGACCGTACTGAAAGACAGGGACAGGGTCTGTAAAGAGCTCATTAGGGTGGGCCTCAATCCAGTCTGACTGGTGTCCTTGTAATAAGAAGGGATTCGGACTCAGACACAGGCGGCCATTTACAAGCCAAGGAGAGAAGGTTCAGAAGCAGCCAACACTGCCAACCCCTCGATGCCAGACTCCCAGCCTCCAGAACCGTGAGAAAACCATTTCTGTCGTTGAAGGCACCCAGCCCGCGGTGCTTTGCTCCTGCAGCAGCCCTCGCCAACCCGGTAAGAGGAGTCAACGAGATCATCTGCTCACGTAGGAGTACAATTTACACTGGATCCTCACTACACAACAAACGGTAACTGTGATCTGGCACACACAACATCCTTGCTCTCATTCAGTAACCTCTGGTGACAGCACTTCTCCAAATGCAAGCCGTGTGCTTACGTTGGGTCTCCACATTTCGGGGCCAGGCTTTGCCCAGGCTCTCGAAGGCTCCCAGCAGAGACTCCAGCTGCAGCTCCTTTTCCTTCTCATTCTCATCTTCATTCTTGGTTGTCCGAACGCCAGTGTTTTCAGGGGAGTTCTAGGATACATCAAAGCAAAGGAAAGCAAAACTTATTTTCCGTCAAAGTTACAGGTGTACTGCAAAACAGTCAGGGTACCAGAATAGATGTTAACCAAGAACTAAAAACTAAATTCTCTACCACGGGCCTTCCTATTTGTAAAAAAAAAAAAAATTTGTTACAGAAATACTACACCTCTCTAATAAATTTGGAAAATCCTTTAAAGGACTCTGTTAGGAAAGGTGAAAAAAATACTGTGTATGTAGGATTTTAAACATAACATAAAAAGACTTGCATTAGAATCATGGGATTAAAGATGCAAGAACTTGGTAATAATCCTCTAAATCCAAACTCTCTCTTAATAAAGAAAGGGAAACATGCTGAGAAGTGACTCATCCAGCTAGCTGGTAATATAATCAATTGAAAACACAAGTCTCCCAAATCCATGTACTATCATTATGTAACAGAAATTATTTAAACAGCCTTACTGTTGAAAGAAAACTGCAGATTGGCAGCAACACAAGAAATAAAAATGCTATTTAAAATATTTCGTGTTTCACAAAAAAAAAGATAATAAACCGTAACTTTTTTTCTCTGAACCAGTGCCCAACCTTTACAAATGAGTACTTCATTTTCCAAATGAAACCAAAGTCTTTTTGACCAAAGTCCCTCAATACATGGCAGAGACAATTAACAGTGGCCCACTGAGCTCCCTGTACTCACTCTAGGATGCCTGGGGTGGCTTCTGCACACCCTTAAAGGGCAAAGCATATCACCACTACGTCAGAGACTGTCCATTCACTCCAACACTCACTCTTGGAAGTCACTGTCCCCATAACCCTGAGTTTCCCCGTGTGCAGGTTGAAACCCCTGCAACAAACTCATCTTTCGCTTTGCTTAAGAAGAACCAGCCATTCTCCCATCGTCCCACGGAGGGCAGATGGAGGGCAGACACCTGGAGGACTGCCTTCCTCAGCCTCCTGTGCAGAGCTGTGGCTAGCTGGTGAAGGACTGGCCGATGAAAGAGAAGTGCCAGGGCCATGCAGCAATGTCCGAGAACTCTCCTTGAGAGAGAAGAGATGTGCCGACTTCGACCCTGCATCCTCCCTCCATCTCCTCTGCCATTACCCGCCCGGAAGGCAGTGACACCACGCACCACGATGACAATGGCCACACTCCAGGGAAGGCGGAGCTGTGAAGAGCCTCAACTATTACGTGACAGACAAAACTCTATCTTGTTTGAGGCCATGAGACTTCGGGATTTCCTATTTGCAGCTACACTGATCCAAATAAAATGAGTAAAGAGGATGCCGGGAAAATCTTGCTTCCTTTTCTTTCTTTCTAAATTTTAGTTTTTAAGTCTAAACGAGACCTGAGAGAAGAGAGGTGATCACTACCTTCTTGATGAGAGGTATGACAATGTCAGAAAACTCCTGGAATCTGTCTTCTTTGGTGGCCTTCAAGACATCCGCCGCACAGCTGATTGCTACGATCTTGTATTTAAGGTTCTCTTTGCAACACTCCTTCAGAACAGCCCGGAGAATCTCCTTTGTGCTGGGCTGACTGGGCACAGGCTTTTCCAGCTCTGCACTACGGGAGCCACACAAACGCATCGGGACAGTTAACAAGGACTTCAGCTTTGGGGTTCAGCTTAAGAAATGGCATCTTCTGATGTAATGTATGGGGATTAACATAAGAATTAAAAAAAAAAAAAAAGAAAAGAAATGGCATCTTCACTGAAAGAACATTTACCTGCAAGCTGTCACCACACAGGCAATGGCTTTCAAAAGCTCTTCCTAAAGGGTTGAAAGATGAGGGAACACTGTTAAGCACACAGGTGTCACTTCCATCCCACGTACTATGACTCCATTACCTCAGGAATACTTAATGACTATGAGGACAAAAATTAACCAGAGTCATCTTATCTTTAATGCACTTTACTATTTAACAAGCACATCGACAGACTTGTACTCCAAACCACAAGAGCAGGACAACTGTCTTCATCTCCATCTCATAAAGCCTAGAGACCTGACTTGCCCAAGGTCAACAGGTGGACGTGCCAATCACGGAATGCTGATACCCAGCCCAACGCCTCTCCTCTAGTACAGCGCTGGCCACTACTGACTGGGACAACATCAAGGACATTGTGATATGCTGCCACAATCTCATCTCCCCCACGGAGGGTTCACTGTAAGTATCCCACTAGCACCCTTGTGTGTAACGTGACTGATTCACAGGCCTCAGAGATGGGCATCCTCGGCTCCAGGTTTAGACACAGCTTGCCTTGCTACTCAATTTCACATGTGCCCAATCCTGATCTGTTCATGAGGTCAACAGGGACAAAATGGCGACCAAGTGATTTAAGACCTCTCTTGGAAAGCTGAACATGACAAATAAAAATCAACCCCCAGCATTACTGTGCAGTATTCAAAAACACGTGGGTTATACTTTGATGAAATAGCATATTTAATCAGACAAGGTTTACCCAAAGCTTCCCATTGGCTAGGAAATCTGCTTCACAAAAACAATCCATCTGACATCCCACAAAACCAGATTCTAATTTTTATAGAAAATGAGAGATGAAGTCATAATCCTTTAAGGATACCTTAAATTTAACTGGGCATGAATGGTTCCTTTACCTTTCCTGCCCATGTTCTTCCAGCTAGGCCTTGCAGTAATGCGGTCAGGATCATTCCCAGATATGGAGGTACTAAGGAGCTGGTTTGTTTTGCAATTGATGCCATGGCAATTGCACCCTGGGCTTTCATTTTCCAAGACTGAGACTGCAAAGCCTTCTGGGTAATGGTAATCAACTCCTGCAGGTATAACCGAATGCCACCAAAGGAACCTAGGTTATGAAAAGCAAAATCAAAGCAACTTTTAAGTGACAAAAAGAATTAACTGGGTTTTTTTAATCTGAAAAAAAAGTCAGTGACCATCAGTCTAAAGCAGTAATTCTCAATGGTTAGATCACACCACTCTCGGAAAGAGAAAGAGAACAGTGTTGCGATATATCTTTACAACAGTAGGACTTTACGAACTCGAATATGCCCACAGGAGGGTGTCATGCAAATGGTCGTCATCCATTTACACATGTGCAGGTGAAGTACAGAAGAAGCCTCACTCTAAAATAATACTCTAAGCCAACATCAAATCACCACTCACTCCCAACACAAATCAGTAAAGCTCTACTTAGCTGGGGCAGAGGTTCTATTCTCTCACATAGGCAGCAATGAGGGAGGAGAGAGAAGAGCTGAGCATCAACCTTGAGAAGGCAGCAATTTGGACAGGCTTAAAACCAGACGGGACACATACCGTTAAGGTCCTGGGAAAGTAACTATAGGAGTCTATAAATGAAAAAGAGGAGTAAGAACTCCAGCTGTGGTTCTTAAGAAACGGGATGAATTCACAGGTACTGATTACTAACCAGGTACGTTTTCCTGCCACACTTCAGTCCACAAGTCACACTCTTCTTTCTCTGATTTCTCCTCCTCGGCGATCTCATGCATGCCCAGAAATGCCAAAGGCAGCACTTCTTTGGCATGGTTCTTCAGCACGTCGGGGCTGTACCGTCCAATAGCATGGATGGTCAAAGCACAAGAGGTCTTATAGATGGGTTCTGAAGAGGAGCAGAAATAGAGTCATCTTTATGATACTTACTGTGGTTAGGGTAACGAACTGACGTAAACAGACTATTGCTCAGCTCGCACCACAGCAAAACAAATCAGTAACATCAATCCAGTGTTCCTAGCAAAGCACATAATACCACAGACGGCAAGACCCGATTTGTATTGTCTTACTAGACTGTTAACATCTAAATTAAAAATAACAGAGGGCCGCCTGGGTGGCTCAGTCAGTTAACGGTCCGACTCTTGCTTTCAGCTCAGGTCATGATCTCAGGGTGGAGAGAGGGAGCCCACCCCTCATCTGGCTCCCAGCTCAGCAGGGAGCCCGCTTCTCCCCCCTTCCTCTGTCCCCCGACTCACGAGTGCACTCTCTCTCTAAAATAAATAAATCTTTAGTAAATAATAAATAAAATAAAATAAAAAAATAAAATAAAAAATAAAATAATAAAATAAAATAAAATTAATAAAATAAAATAAAATTAATAAAATAAAATAAATAAAATAAAATAAATACTAGAGAGAAGGAAATAAAGGTACCTTCTTTCTCCATGTACCAGCCATTAAGCTTCTGCAGGAGTTTCTCAGTGCTGCTATCCCTTGAGGTCTGAAAAAGAAAACAATCGCTATTTATTTCTTTATAATTATCAAAGTATAAATACTTAATTAAATAAGAAATTCAACTCACCCGAACTAAATGGCCCATGGCAAATGCACAAGATTTCTGAATTACACTGTTCCGATCTGTCAGGCCACTAAGCAAAGCACTCATGAGTTTACCTATCAAAAATAATGAAGAAAAATCTGATCCTTGGTTGACCAAATGTTCAACCAAAACAAACTTAACCCTGTTTAGAACACATGTATGTTACATGTGTACGATGCACTTGCTTCGTTTCGCCCAATACAAAATTAAACAATCCGTGTCTAGAATATCGTGGGGAAAGTTGCAAAAATGAGAGCTAGGTACATAAAGTTCATTAGCCCCATCGAGGAGTCAATCCAAGAAGAGAAAAATGCTGATGTAAAATTAGGCATAAATGGGAAACAAATCCTACAAAATGGCAGATACTCTTACCTCTTCATAGCCAGTAAGAATTAATCTAATACTTATAAAACAGTGAACACGTGCTAAACTTGTTAAACTTGGTCATCACCGCACCTCTTGCAAACAAAGAAACAAAGGCAGAAGGGGGAGTTTACAGGGAGGAAAACCATACAGCAGATCACAAGCCCGTCTGAAGGATACTTAACATTTTTAAAAACCCTGTCCACAAGACATGGCCACACCGAAGTATCACCACTCGCGGCTCTGACAAACTCACCTGAGTGAGGGGTCAGGTCCTGGGGACACTGAGTCGTTAACGACACGATGACACTGGCACAGCCTCCCTACAGGGTTACAAAAGGCAAAGGTCTAAATCTGATGGTCACAATGTTCTGTCTCTCAAACCCACCGTGTCTTAGGTGTCGCTGATTTAAAGATGAGAAATACAGGACGCCTAACGGGATTCCTATCTGGCAAGAGGAAGGTCCTTATTTTAAGTATGCAATGCAAAGATTTTTTCTCAAGGCTTCCAGCAGGAAGACGTGTGCTCTCACACACACTACAAGGAAGAAAGAAAACTAATACAATCTTTTGGGAGGGTCACATAGGTCAACCTGGCCATCCTTGTTCTAACAGTTCCAGCTCTAAAAATGTAACCAAAGGAACTAGCTCCAGATATGTCCAAAGACATTCATCACAGTGCTCTGTTCAGTATCAAAACAGTTGAAGACAAATCCGATGCTCCTTGACGGACTAATATAAATGATGCTACAGCCACATGACAGAGTACCCCATGGCCATTAAAGGGGACGCTGTCACAGACACGTGCACAGAAAAGAGACTGGAGGAAAACACTGTGGAATATTAACAGCGATTACCACTGGGTGCTAAACTTCATGCACAGTCTTTAACTTTCTCCTGATCTACAAATGCTAAAATGTTAAAATGCAAGCAAGTGCTAATTTTGTCAAGAGAAAAACTGTGAGTTGGCTTTTGAAGTGCGGGGACAGGGTCTGATCCTTGAAAGACCTTGGAGAGGAAGACATTTTTCTTGCCAAATACCTGCTAGCCCCTGTGAAAATGCTAATCACCACCTAAAACCACCATCCGTGCCTTGATACCTACACAAGCATTTCCATTAATGACTGATCATGGCGGGGACCCAGAGGGCACGTACACGGCAACCAGGGGACAGAAATGATCCCACTAAAAAAGTCAGACACTATTTATTGAATAAGTCACATGTTTTCTATTCTGAGTGAGCTACATATTTTAAGTTATTAGTACAACCAGAGAAACAAAATGGTTAATGTAAATTATTATTAAGTTGTACAGAGAAATATGAATTTCAAACATGACGGCTGTTATATTTTTGTGGCCCCAACTAATGAAGATGCAAATTCCTCTTGTGAAAAATACACGTACTTACCTTAGTTCCAAGACCCACACCACTTCTGATCAATTCACATAATCTAGGAACGAGCTCACCAAGCACCGACACATCAAGATATTGCAGGCACTTTGGGAAAAGAATAAAGTTAACCTTAGAAAATGATGAAGGCAATGCCACATCATCAATTAAAAGCTGCTGTGTCACATATGTACCCACTGGATTTATCAAGTTGAAAAACTGCCAGGTTCATTTTGCACTGATTTCAATATAAAAACCACCACTGTACTACAAACAGAAAAAACATTCATCAGTCGTTCAACATTAAAACAAAAATTGGGGTGGGGCGCCTGGGTGGCTCAGTCGTTAAGCGTCTGCCTTCACCCCAGGGGCCTGGGATCGAGCCCCGCATCAGGCTCTCTGCTCAGCGGGGAGCCTGCTTCTCCCTCTCCCACTCTGCCTGCTTGTGTTCCCTCTCTCACTGTCTCTCACTGTCAAATAAATAATAAAATAAAATCTTAAAAAAAAAAAACATAAAACAAAAATTGGGGTACCTGGGTGGCTCAGTCGGTTAAGTGTCCAACTCCTGATTTCGACTCCGGTCATGATCTCAGGATCATGAGACTGAGCTCTGAGTCCAGCTCCACGCTCAGCATGGAGTCTGCTTGTCCCTCTTCCTTCCCTTCTGCCCCTCCCCCCACTCACATGCTCTATCAAATAAAATAAAAATCTTTTTAAAAAATCATGAAAAACACTGACTTACTAAAGGAGAAAATAAATTAGGATTCCGCAAGAAAGGATCTCTCTGGGCCTACTCTTCCTCCTTACCAATCCACGTTTAGTGTAAAACATGTTTAGTTAAAACTTTCAACGGGCCTGCCCTACCAAACCAACTTCTTAGCCAAATTTGCTACACTATGTTTTAAAAACGCAATGACATATTTTCTATTATTAATGAGCATATCCAAAAGGTGTTTGCTAACCATTCCTATTTATTTAAGATTCCTTTTCCCCTCAATAATCCAACTAAGACATAACACCCTTAGACCAAATTTCGGTGACAGTCCCCCAGTAAGCACTAAAAAATATCTTCTTCTCTTGTCCAGCCTTGTGATCTGCTTAACAAAACAATTTCCAATAGCTCACGAGTTGTCAATTAACCACTCCAGGGTATGCGCAGCAGAGCTATCTATCGACTTTAGTGACCCCTAGTCCCGGACTCCAGGATCTTTAGAATTTAGAACCTCAGTGCCAAGCAGATCTTTTCTGCAAATCCCTTCTTACAACTAAAACATTTCAACATTGCTCAGTTCTCCTTCCCTATCTTTTATGCTACCTACCTTCACTGAACACCTCCAGCTTACACCTTCCTAGGTCCTCCCAAAGACCGTGCCCAGGCACACAAATATCTGAACCTTTCTAAACAGGCCAAAAGAGATAGAGATTTATAGAGGAATCTTTTAATATATTGTTCTTCTATGTAACACAAATCTGGACTAACGGATTCTAGTATTTGGAAAATGTTTTATTCCATTTAATAATCTGGAAGAAGAAAGAAAGACCTATACTAAGAAAAAACTAGAGTCAATAGCTGTTTGACTCATCCCTTAAACCTCTACTTCATTTAATGGGCTGTAAAGACTGAAAAATTACACTCTAAGGTAAGCAAAAAACAAACTTTCTTATTACATTAGGCACTGACCATGTTGATTGTTTCCATCATGGGAGAGGATTTGGCAGCACTGAGTCGAGCACTATCCATCGCAGCCTGAGGACACAAATTCAAGTCACTCAGCATATTCGATCAATTAAGAAGAACCCACATACACTCCCATAAAAGGGCTTTACTTCCAGAGGAAATTTTTTAAAAATAATACATAGGTAAAGCAAACTCAAATGTTAAGTCCAACTCTAATTTCTTTTGAGCTACATTCAACAATTACCAATGAGGCAGCCTCTCACTGCAGGTGAGAAATTCAGACAATAGTTAGAAATTAACTGCAGTTAGAAATTAACATAGCGTGGCTCTGAGCAAGCCATCGGCCTGCCTGAGCCTCAGGTTCTCCAACCACTAAATACGAGAATAGGCTAAATAAATTTCTACCTAAGGTTTTAAAAAATTGTATCTAAGCAATAAAAAATGTCATACTTTTTTTTTGCTTTAACTTTGTAAAGGTATTTCAGTCTAACAATGACCCTGCAGGAGAGGTTAACTAGCCACACGTAGTCAATGAGGAAAGGAACGCGTATAGAAGTGACAGGCCTAAGGCTGCAAAGTTTGGGCTAGACATTGTTTCCTACTTCTCAGCACTAGTAAACTACTGTGGGAACCTAGGCAGGGCGAGTCCACTGCTGAAAAGGAAAGAATGATGAATGGAGAAGAAACAGCAACATGAGAGGCAAAGGGAAAGAGGGTCGGTTATTAGAATAGTTTAGCCAAGGTAAAAACCAAATAGCAAACTGAGAGCGAGTACCAGCAGTCTACATGACAGAGGTGTGACAGTCCTAATAAACAGAGACCAACGTAAAAACATCAACAAGCACAAAACCAGGCACGGAATAGAAACACACAATTCACAGAATGTAAGTGACTAACATAATACGATCAGACAATGGACAGCCCTAGTAACAGGAAGGTGTAAAGCAGAACGAGATTCTTGCTCATCAGACTGATGTTCTTCAATGTTGGCAAAGGTGTGGAGGAAACAGAACGGGCACAACTTTTGATGCTGCATAATCTCTCTGACCAAAATGTGAAATCACCTCACTGTAGAATACTATGCATGCATTAAAAAGAATGGAATAGCTCTATATACAGATATGATATAATGTCCATAACAAAAAGCAGGTTGTAGAACAACATTCACAGACTATTTTCAAATCAGTGTGTTTGTTTGGGTTTGTCGCCTGTGACTTCAAGGGAATTTCAAAACAGACCCAGAAGGCTACTGACCATGGGGACCCGGTAGGGCAGAGGAGACTCCTAGGGGATTACTTCCTCCCCCTTCTGCATTATTTTTTCATAGTAAATGTTTCATCTACAATTTTTTTTAAAAAAACTTTGGTCAGTCAAGGCAACTACAGTATCTCTGAAAAGCAGAATAATCTTGGACAATGCCAAAGTCTAGATACAAATCCTCTTTACTTATAGGGCAGGAGTGGTCCATAGAAGGACTCTGAAGGTGGAGAACCAACCCCTAAAAAAATAAACAAACATGTACAAAAAACTGTGTTAAATAAATGGAAATGCATTTTTTGAATGGAAGTGTTAGTTTTCATCCAACTCACAAAACACTATGTGAGCCCTCGTTGTGCTCCCTCCGACCCCCCAAAACACACACTGCATGAAGTCACAGGTGTGGAGTTATTTCAAGAGTGGTGAAAGTATCATTCGAGTAATGGAGTTTGTCTAAAGACACTGGAAAGATTGTTCAGATGGAACTCAGTACCTTAGCAAGGCTTTTCTTCCTTGAGACTCACCAGTATGCCTGTGCTGTCAACTCACCTTTTCTTGGTCTGTAGCCCGGAGGCTCAAATAATTGAGAACCTGCGGTTCCAGTACACTTAAGGATTCCAACAGAGCTGGGATGAGTTTTGGTGCATGTGGTTTCAACATGGCTCCCGCACTTTTGCTAATCTTCACAAGGGTGTTAATGCTACAGACACACAGAATACAACTCCTAAGTCCTTTTGACAAAAGCCAGAAGCTCTACAAATCTAACCATGAGGACGTTCTGTGGTTTATTGTGTTCAGGAACACATTCACATGGTTAGTGTCTTAGCACTATTTTTTTCCTTTACTTTTTATTATAGAAATTTTCGAGCATATGTGAAAGAAGAGAGGATCATAAATGAAATTCTACATATTCTCTACCCAGTTCAGCCATTTGCAACTTCTCACCAATTTTGTTTCATTTATACCTCCTCCAGACACACAAGCACACATTCCCCGCCCCCCATATCATCTTGAAGTATCCTTTAACTAAACTTCAGTATGTGTCACTAAGAGGCAAGAATTCCTTACTATAATCAAAATAACATTTTCAAACTTAGAAAACATTAATAATTTTTTTCATGTAATTTGATATCCAAATTTCCCTGTTTCACAAATGTCTTTAAGAGTTGGTTCGTTTGGAGGGCACCTGGATGGCTCAGTCAGTGAAGTGTCCGTCCAACTCTTGATTGTGGCTCAGGTCATGATCTCAGGGCTGTGAGATCGAGCCCTGCGTGGGGCTCCATGCTGGGCTTGGAGCCTGCTTAAGATTCTCTCTCTCTCCCTCTGCCCTTCCCACCCCTCCACCTCTCTCACTCAAAAAAAAAAAAAAAAAGTAAGTTGGTTTGTTGGAATCGGATCCAGAGTCCACCCACACATTGCAATTTACTGCATTTCTTAAATCCTTTTTAATCATCCCTCCTCTTTTTCCTTATAATTTATTTGTCCTCACTAACTCTCTTCCAATGGTGTCATTTAACATGTTCCTCTCTCTGTCCCCTGTACAGATCTTCAGGCTAAATCAGGTTCAGGTTCAATTTTTTTTTTTTTTTTACCATGAATCTTTTATAGGTGGTGGTGTACATGTCCTATTCCATCACATTAGGATGCATGTAATGTCTGCTTATCTTTTTTTGTGATATTAAGTGGTCAGTGAATTCAAGTTTGGTTCTCCTGACCATCCATTTAAAGCTTCCAATAACCTTTGACCAGTGGATTTAGGAGCCACTAATGATCATTACCCTAGATTATTTTAATGAGGTCAGCAAAACAGTAATATCCTACTTTTATCATTCCTTTGCCTTTGTTATGTGAATTCTTTAAAAACAAAACAAAACAACAACAACAAAAAAAACACCTTCAGGGAGCCTGGGTGGCTCAGTCAGTTGAGCGACTAGCTCTTGATTTTGGCTCAAGTCATGATCTCAGGGTCCTGGGATCCAGCCCTGTGTTGGACTCCGCAATCAGCAAGGAGTCTGCATCAGGATTCTCTCTCCCCCTCTGCCCCTCCCCCTGCTCACGCGCATGCTCTAAAATAAGGTAATTAATTAAAGAAAAAATCTTCCCTCATCAATTATTTTATTAGTAATAGTAAGAAATAGTTACTCTTAGTATGAAATACTGTTGGTACTATTAATGTGATCTAATTTTAAGAGTGAAATAAAATGACAGGTAAAATTCCTAAATAGGACTCTAGTTTAAAAAAAAAACAAGAAACTAGAATCCTTCACTGCTGAATTTTACAAAATGGCCATATATGTCTAAACATGTGAGTGTATTTTTTTAGTACTTCACTGTTGCAGGTGGTACAGTTTATTTTAAACCTAGTTATCTGTGAAATATTACTAAATGGTCTAACCAACAGCAACCTCCCAGGGACCAGGGGCATAACAGAAAGGTGTGCTTGCCGAGGACAGATGCCAACGGCAACACAGTAACACACCTTACGCAAGTCAAAGCAGAACAGCAGGATGTTGGTCCAAAGCAAGGTTCCCGTGAGAATGTTTGTTTCTGAGAAATGTTCCACCTCAGAACTTTTCACAAATGCTCTTGGGTCACCTCAGTGTATTCTCCTCAACTCATTTTCTCCATACTTTGAAGAATCTAACACTCAGAGAAACACTATTTCTGCGGAATGGCTAGACACTAAGTAAATCCATTCATTTTATCAGCTGATTCACACCTGAGGGCTCGAACTTCTGTCACAGGACTCATCATTCCTTTGTCCAGAAGGCAAGGCAGAAGGACCGCGATGGTTCTCTGGCCAGCTGCTCCTTTGGCGGGGTCACACATTTTCACACAAACCTCACATACACAGAGCATGGAAATTAGTGAAACTGACTTCTTACCCAATAAAGCATTCATCTAACAAAATACTTTCTATTTCCCATAGCCATAGAAAAGAGTAAGCATCAACTCCATGACACTTCGGGGAGAAACGGAAAAGAATGCTCTGTATGCCAACACCTAACAGGGAATTGGGTAATGCCTTCCACTCTGTAAGCTTTGGTCTTGTCATTTGTGAGACAGGAAATAGTTGAAAAGGAAGTGAGAAAATCTGTAAGAAAGCACTCTGCAGAAGGCTTAAGGTATTATCATCATCAATAACTTTGGGTGGCGGCATAACACAGTGGTCAGGAACACTAATCGGGAGTAAGAAACACCTGGATTTAAAACCTGTTTTTACTACTTACTAACGATGTAATCTATGGCAAGCCTATACAGATAGAATGTAGAAGTCCCTGAAATACCATACAATCAAGTTCAAGTAAGAAACTAGTTTCAAAAAGCTTGCCAACCTCATAAACATGCAAGGCAGCTGAACACAAAACCACAGTAATAATAAAAGAGGTAATGTGTTCTTCAGGGTCGAGTGAAAGTCATACCTTATGTAAAAGCCCACAGAAGCCGACCAAATAAAGAGACCAGACATATTCTATGCTAAAAATACTAGTATTCTAGTATAATGGCACCTAGTTTCTCATTCACTGTAAGAACACTGAACTATAACATGAAACCGATTACTTTATGTCACTGCAACTCAATGGCAATTGAGATGACAAAAAAATAAGTCATCGTTGTCCTGGTCACAGAAAGCCCTGCCCCACTTCACTCCCAGTATAAGATAAGAGTTTTCACCTTGCTCAGAGTTTTCAGAGCTAGTTCTGCGGCTTTCCGTACCGATTCCTAAAAATGAGGAAAGTATGGCATGACAGATTAGTTTCATTCCCATCCACCCCATGATGTGTATTTAACTGCCTCCGACTCTACACAGATTAGTGAAAAATCCTACTTGCAATATCAGGTAAAAAATAGTGTTTCATTAGGCTCCCTGCCCATCAAGGAACATGTTATAATGGCATATATTTTTTTAGGTATGACCTATTTTGATCTTATAAAAATATGGCTACAAAGTATAACAGTTTAGGGCCGCGTGGGTGGCACAGTCAGTTAAGTGTCCTCCTCTTGGTTTCAGCTCAGGTCATGATCTCAGGGTGTTGAGACTGAGCCCCATGTGGAGCTCTGAGCTCAGCACAGAGTCTGCTTGGTCTGCCTGGGACCCTCTCTCTCCTTCTCCCTCTGCACCTCTCCCTACACTCATCTCTCTCAAAAAATAAATAAATCTTTTAAAAAAACATAAAACAGTTTAGAAACTAAAGGTATTATAAACGCAAACATATAAATATCTGTATGAGCATTCTAAAAGACTTTTAAAAATCTCTAATGAATAAGTCAAAAAGAAAGGCAAAACTAAAGTGCCTAATTCTAATGGTGAGATACCAAAATATCTAAAATTTAGATTGAATTTAAAATTCAAAGGAATTGGTCACGTTATTTGGGATTAACTGATCCAATTTATAAAACTGATCAAGTAGAGGTTGTCTGGATTATTTCCAAACTGTTGCTTGTCCTAATCAATAACATCATAAAATCTCTATTGAAAAAAACCCTGCAACATCACAGATACATTAAGACTGAAATTTTGGGAGGAAACTGTAGTCTCTTAAAATTGTATACAGAGTGAATTCTTAAATACCCAATGTATACATCTTAACAATCTCAGTTAAAGTTATTCTGTGAATAAATGCAGACTTTTTTTTTAATACCTTGATATCATCTTGTACCCGAAAAAGAGTTTCCCAAATTTCTGGAAGTTTATCAATGATGTCATCTAGAGGTCTTCCTCTCAATAAATCATTCAGAGCTAAACAGCTGAAAATAAACAATTTGGTTTTCAAGTCTATGATCAAGAAAGCTCAATCTTACTATGAAACATTCATATCAAACAAGAATATGGATTCTGCCTCCTGGACAGCAACACCTGTTCTCTCCTTGGTGCCTCAAATACCCCCCCCCACACATGGCATTTATATTCATCAGATGTCTGCGTCCCACAACTACAATACAGCCTCTTTGAGAGGATACATCATTTTTTATTTACCAGTGTACCCCCACGCAGCACACCGACAAGCACGTAACAGGCACTGAATAAATTTACATAAATATGTAAGTAAATGACACCCTACAAAGTCATGACAGTATATATCTTATTGTCTACCAATTTAACAAGTGATCTTCTTTAATGTCATACTTATATAAACTAAGACAACTGAGAAAAACCACTGATTAGAGTTGGGTGTTTATTTTAGAGTTTTAAATAGTTAGGTAGAGAGAATTCTCTAACCCAACCAAAAATACGCTTTTTCGTAATTTAGTAATTTATTCCTTTTGCATAAAGTATAAAGCTTGGAAACTTGAAGAAAAAAAATTAGTTATATCTGACTAGTCTTGTATTTCCAAAAATGGTACCTGGATTCTCGAACTCGCCACATACTGCTGGTAAGGTTCTTAACCAAATCTTGAAGAATCTCCTTCAAATATTTATCCACCTAATGAAAGAAAAAGTTTAACATTTAAAATGTGAAATTCATCAACTGTCAAGTTATTAATCTCTCAACCACACTAACCATGTCTCTGTAGGTAGCAGCCTGAGTGTCTCTGGGCGTCTCAGCCCACAAGTCTCTCCCCACTCTGCTTGCTGACAGCTGCTAGAATGATCATTCTAAAATGCAAACTTGATTCTCTTGTCTTCTTCAGGACACGAGAATAAAATCCAACCACCCAGGCATAGATACAAAGCCCTCTGTGACTGAGCTAGCTCCAAAGGTATCATGTACTATTTCGCCTTTATTCCTTGATACATAATGCCTCTCCCTACAATCCCTTTCCATCTCTTGCTTGCCTGGCTAATTCCTACCTGTCCTTCAAGATTCATATCAGGCATCACCTGGTGGAGAATACTGGCCTACTCTCCTCTGTGTTCCCACAGCACCTTCTTCAGCATGTCATATCAGACTGTATGTAACTACACTGCTCCATCACACTGAGACCCCAAGGACAAGGACAGTGTCTGACTTGTCTCCATATCCCTGGTAATATGTACAGTGTCTGGCACCTAAAGAAGTATTATGATTGTTCAGAATGAAAGGTGAGTTGAATCTTTTAAGCCTGTTTTGTTTGGATATACACTTAACAATTTGGTAATAACAACTAACTGATGGAAGGCTCAATTCTTATACTGATCCAAAGAACCTCAAAACTTAAGGCTTGGCGGCACCTGGGTGGCTCCGTTGGTTAAGCATCTGATTTTGGCTGTGGTCATGGTCTCAGGGTCCTGTGATCCAGCCATGGTGGGCTCCACGCTCAGCAGGGAGTCTGCTTCTCCCTCTGCCCCCACCCCTCCCTCCTGCCCCTCTCCCTGCTTGTGCGCGTGCTCTCTCTCATATAAATAAAATCTCAAAAAAAAAACAAAACAAAAACTTAAGGCTTTTCCACTTTTACTCTTATAGGTAGGAAAGGTTTTGTTATCCTCACTTATATGGAAGAAAACCAAGACAGAGAGGTAGGTAAATAACTCACCTAAGATTTAACAAACTGACATCTTATGTCCAGTTCTCTAAACATTCTCCACAGTGATCTCATCTGCACTATCTCATCTATCCACTGAGACAGACCAATCTCACTGATCCCCTTTCACTCATAAGGAGATGATACTCACATCTTGAAAGCCTCAGTCTGTGCACTGGACGCAGATCTATCAAGCCAAGTGGCCTATTAGATCTTGACTGACCCAGTGGTACCAAATACTCTGCTAGAGCCTTCAAAGCTGAATCCTCAAGGCCTATCACCATGAACAGGAACACACTCAACCTGACACTAAAGTGAAGAAGGGGAAAAGCCGTATCATGTGCAGGGACTGCAAAGGTAAGGTAAGGCTCATGGAATTTATTTAAAGTGAACTATGAAGCCACTAAAGGATTTTAACCCAAAATGGCAAAATCCAATTTCTTTTTAAATCACTTTTACTGCTGATTATATAAAGGAAGGCAAAGAGAAGAGAGAGAGAGGACACCCTGTTCTCCAGGAAAGAATCAGGGAAAGAAGACAGTGGATTCAAGAGATACTTTGGAAGCAGAATCAACAGAATTCGCTACTGGATTCAACTGAAAGTAGGGGCACAACAGACAGAAATCAAGAGGATACCAAGTTTCCTGGTATGGGTAAATGGATGAATGTTGAGAAGAGAGGGGAAAGTCCTGTTCTGGACATGTTAAGTTGAAGGAATTGTGAAACAACATCCAAGTGAAGCGGGCAGTTGGATGTGCAAATCAGGAACACAAGTCAAGTCTGGGCCAAAATATAAGATTGGGAACCATCACAAGTAAGATGACATTTAGATTCACTGGAACAGCTGAGCTCAAAACATAAAACTGAGAGAGTAAAAGGTACTCAGAGGCAAGCCTTGAGAAATCCTAACATCAACAAGTGGAATCGAGTATGACAAGCAGCCAGAGAACAGAAAACCAAGAGAGAAAACCATACATGGTAATGGCCTGTTTCCTTGTCTAGCTCCTCAACAAAGGGAACTCCTTGAAGGCAGGACTGTGGCCTGTTCTCCACTGTATGGACAGTACCGATCGACACGGTATTCCGTTTGTGTGAGTATCCCGCCACTTCCTCAGCCAGCCACCCCATGGACATTTAGATTATTTCCATTCTTGAGATTTTAATAAATGTGGCCACGAGCATCTTCGACATCTTGAGAGAACGGAGAAAGCAAAGAATGAAAGAAAGCTTATTTGTTTAAACAGGTAAGTATACAGAGCAGAAAGAAAGATGGGCCTTGGGTTGAAATCCCATGTGTAATCTTGGACAAGGGTTCCCAGATACTTGCCGTTGATTTGTCAGTGACCAATGCATTCCAAATACTTGTCATGGCCTGTCGAATGCCCAGGTTGGGATCAAACTGGTAACGATAAAGACGGGGAACCAGCTGAGGCAGGAAAGGAGCCAGCTGTTCCCCAGCTCTGGAGGCAATCATATTAAAACCAAAAGCAGCACCCTAAAAAAATAAGATGGTGATGAAGTGACTCAGATACCTCACTGTGGTAAAATGTTAATATATTAAATCTACGAAGATCACAAAATCCTCCCTCCCAAACCTGTCCCTGGACCTGATCCACTGGGTGTCCCAGCTGTAGCGGTAACAGCAACCATGTGGTGGTCTGGCTCTCTCTAACCCCAGACTTTTACAAAGCATACTGCATATCAATCGCCACTGCCAGCCAGTGTAGCAGGTTTGGTTTGGAGGTAAAAAGCAAAAACCGTCCGTGATAGCAACTTACCTTCCTAGAGTTCCACATTGCATGATGGTTGGCTAAATTCATAAATTTATACACCAGATCTGGCTGACTAAGATCACTTGCCAGAGAACAAAGCTCCTTGTAAGTAGAGAGGCCCTGGCTTGGAAACAAACAAACAAAAAGTACACAATGTATTTCTCTGTCTCCAGCCTAGTAAAAGTCACATCACCAATATTAGTAGGACATTTTTAAATTATGTTCTCAATCTCATCACCACAGAGGAAGAGAATGAGGTTGAGAGGAATATAAAGAGTCACCTAGTTCAATTACTGACAAGGCCAGGTAAATGACAGAAAGGCCCCCTTGAGTCCCTTGGACATGGAGCCCTCACCCCCCCGGGAGGTGGCTCAGTAATTCCTTGTTACCTTGTGCACCAATCTCTCTCAGAATCAGGAGTTGCTTAGAGACAACTTCTATCATCCCCAAGTCTTTTCTAAGCTACAGCACCCCAATCATTTTTAAGTTTTTATTTTAATGCCAGTTAGTTAACATAGTGTTATAATATTAGTTTCAGGTGTACAATACAGTGATTCAACACTTCCATACATCAACCAATGCTCCTCACAGCACGTGCCCGCCTTGATCCCCATCACCTACTTTACCCATCTCCCCACCCCCACTCTGGTGACCATAAGTTCGTTCTCCATAGTTAAGAGTCTGTATCTTGGTTTTCATCTCTTTTTTCCCATATGATCATTTGTTTGACTCTTAAATTCCACATGTGAGTGACATCACACAGAATCTGTCTTTCTCTGACTTGTTTCCCTTAGCATTATACTCCCTAGCCCCATCCACGTTGTTGGAAATGGCAAGATTTCATTCTTTTTTATGTCTGAATAATACTCCATTGTGTGTATATATATATGTACACCACATTTTTATCCATTCATCTACCTCAGTGAACAGTTGGGCCGCTTCCATATCCCAGCTATTATAGATAATGCTGCTATAAACATCAGGGTGTATGTATGCCTTTGAATTAGTATTTTTGTATTCTTTGGGTAAATACCCAGTAGTATGATTGCTGGATCATAGGGTAGTTCCATTTTTAACTTTCTGAGGAGCCTCCATACTGTTTTCCACAGTAGCTGTACCAGTTTGCATTCCCACCAATAGTATAAGAGGAGGTTCCTTTTTCTCCACATCCTTGCCAGCACCTGTTGTTTCTTGTGCTGTTGATTTTAGCCATTCTGACAGATGTGACATGATACCTCATTGTCGTTTTGATTTGTATTTCCCTGATAAGTAATGTTGAGCATCTTTTCATGTGTCTGTTGGCCATCTGGATGTCTTCTCTGGAGAAATGTCTGTTCGTATCTTCTGCCCAGTGTTTTTTAGGTGTTGAGTTATATCAGTTCTTTATATATATTAGATACTAACCCTTTATCAGGTATGTTATTTGCAAATATCTTCTCCCATTCCACAGGTTGCCTTTTAGTTTTGTTGGTTGTCTCCTCTACCGCACAGAAGCTTTTTATTTTGATGTAGTCCCAATAGTTTATTTTTGCTTTTGTTTCCCTTCCCTCAGGAGAAATCTCTAGAAAGAAGTTGCTTTGGCCGATGTCAAAGAGGTTACTTGCCTGTGCTCTCTTCCAGGATTTTTATGGTTTCAGATCTCACATTTAGAACTTTAATCCATTTTGACTTTATTTCTGTGTATTTCTTTTACATGTTGTTGTCCAGTTTTCCTGACACCATTTGTTGAAAAGACTGTCTTTTTCCTATTGGATATTCCTTCCTGCTTTGTCAAAGATTAATTGACCATATAATTACAGGTCAATTCTGTTCCATTAATCTAGGAATCTATTTTTGTGCCAGCACCATACTGTTCTGATTACTATAGCTTTGTAATACAGCTTCAAGTCTAGAATTGTGATGCTTCTGGGCTTCACTTTTCTTTTTCAAGAGGGCTTTGGCTATTCAGTCCATACAAATTGTAGGACTGCAGCACCCAATCTTGATAACTCCTTCTGAGTCCTATTAACTTTCCTCTGAACAAATAATATTTCCTTAAATACCCGATCATTTGTATTAGTTATTCTGTGAAAAGAAAGCACTTTTTAAAAACTCAGAAAAAGTCTACAGGGACAGTAAGTGGAACAAAAATAATTTCTGATGTGGAAACAGCGAGCTATGGGAGAAAGTCAAGAACAGAACAAATGGCTGCTCTCTGGTGTTGCAGACAACACTGAAGCAGGGCCCAGCCAGCTGCACAGTTTGACCTGAGGGGTTTTAGAGGAAAAGCATCAGCATAACCACAACGGAATAATGATAAGATAAAGGAGGTAAGGCTCTAGGAATTAATCTGAAGTGCTAAATTGATGGACCCCACAATAACAAGCAGAGCTGCCCCCCCCGCCCCCAAAAACGAGGTGCAGCGGATGCGGAGCTGTGCTGCCAGACCGCCCCTCACGACTCAGCTGGCTGGGAGTTCATGGAACTGCCCTTAGTCCAAGGTCAGGTCCTCCCCCAGAGCAGCCCACCACCAATGGCTAGACACTGAGGGGATGTAAAGCCTAATGAGGGGATGTAATGTCCTGGCCCCTCATAGCAGGACAACTCTGAAGGGCCTGCCCAGCCCAGTTCCAGAGGCCAGGGTCTGCTTAAGTGTTGGCAGCAGGTCAGCTCCTCCTTGGGCCATCGGCCCTCTCCTGCCTCCTCACTGCCCTAGGTGATGAGCCTGGGGCACTCTTCAGTCAGCTTCCAGCTTTGTCCAAAACTCCACCTCAGAGTCTGTTTCCCAAGAACCCCAATCTGAGACACTATGCTTTCTCCACAGAAGTTTTCTTCTTCCACTAACACACATTTCCTAGGAGGGTAGAAATCAGTGTCGTGAGTGCTCCATTCAGAGACTAAAGGTGTCAGTGATGACTGATCGATGGATTTGGCACACTTACCCATCGGGTGTTTTGCCAAGGCTTCCCCCTTGAAATACCACTGTCTCTCCAGAAACTTCATGTTTAGTTCTAAAGCAAAACAACAGTAAGACTTTATATTAGCCTCAAATTTTTCAAAGCAGCATTCAACTAACTGATTCATTTCTTTTATAAATTGATAAAATCAAATTCCATAGCAGGTATCGACCAAGATGTAAAAGTCAACTAAATCCTTTCCAATCAGCCTGAGAATTCTGTAAAACTAACTCTAGGATGAACAAAGAGATGTAAAAGACATTCCACATCAAGTTAAACTGAATTAAATGTGGTCATCCATTAAAAAATATCCTCCCTGCAAGGAAGGCAACATAAAACAGTAACCAATTACAAGAATGACTGCCCCTCTCATCCTCTTCACAAATCAGACTATGAAAGACATGCAAGCTTCCCCTCCACATCTTCACTTTCATTTAGCCAACAGCAATTACGGTATTATTATAATCCAATGCTTTGACTGTCCTGAGATCATTCAACTTTTAAAGCTTGACCTACTGGCCTGTTTCTGAACAGTAGTTTAGTTTACTTCACTTTACTGTCTAAACAATATACGCTGAATAATTAAACTGCTATCCACCACATAACAATCACTGACTTGAATTTAAAGACTTAATAAACAAGAACATCAAATGCTGAATTTTCCTTCTTCCACTGCATATTCTCAGTATGTGCAAATCGTGCTGTATGTGTTTAAATCTGAAGTGTACAAGGTCACTGTACCTTTTGCCAGTCATAAGTGTCTCTACAAGTGTAGAAACCAATTCCTGCTGATCTTGTTCATTGCCCAGTTCATACACCAACCCAAGGCCTTTTGAGGCAACGTCTTGGCTAAGTTCTGCACAAAAGTCAGACAAAATAGTATTACTTTAAGAAAATTTGTCTTCTGGCCATTGTCGGATTTTTTTAAGTTGTAATAGAAATCCAAAATGATACCCAAGTGAAGACATGAAAGCAGAATCAATCTGCCTATTTTGTTAAAACATATTAAATCATCTCAGTGGACATGGCACCAAACGTCCCTGTAAGTAAGAATTACATTCACAAAAGATCCAACTCACAAACCAAGTCAACCCTGCTGGGCCTTAGAGTTCTGTGTACTACAAGTCGTACATGTGAAAAGTACAACAGTCTCACGGATTTCCATATACCCACATCCAATTTTTTAAGTAAAAAGTCAATATAAGACCATATGTTTAAAACAATTTATAAAACATGGGTGCCTGGGTGGCTCAGTTGGTTAAGCGTCGCCTTCGGCTCAGGTCATGATCCCAGGGTCCTGGGATAGAGCCCCATGTCGGGCTCCCTGCTCAGCGGGGAGCCTGCTTCTCCCTCTGCCTCTGCCCCTCCCCCCTGCTTGTGCACGCGCTCTCTCTCAAATAAAATCTTTAAAAAAAAATTTATAAAACAAAGCTACTGTTTAAATGTCTAATACATTTGCTCTCTCCTGGCTTACATCAGGAAAGGAACAAGAAATAGAAAAAAAGCTATTTTTGTAAGTACTAATGTTATAGAAGGCCTTGGCGCCATTTTTTTTTCATTTTTGATAATTAACTGAATTTAAAAAAAGATTAACATACAGTGTATTATTAGTTTCAGAGGTAGAGTTCAGTGATTTCATCAGTCTTATATAACACCCAGTGCTCATTACATCACGTGCCCTCCTTAATGTCCATCACCCAGTTACCCCATCCCCCCCACTCCCCTCCAGCAACCCTAAGTCGGTTCCATTTTTAAATGTAAAACTGAAGAACATGATCTAATTAATTAAATCAACCAAAAAAAATACTTTTCCTGTGTTCCTTCTTTTATGTTCATTAACCTAGATTTTTTAAAATTTAAAACACAAGCTTAATGAAGTTGGCAAATCAAATATTTACCAATAACTTACCATCATTTTCCGACAAAACGGAAACAAATGCACTCTGAATTTCTTTAAGGTGAGACTGAAAGAAGAAAACAGGCATTCAAGAACACAAACTCTACCTCTTGGTAGATTAATGGAAGGTAAGAATCTTCTCTCGGGGCATACAACACCTTGTAATTACGAGTCTTCCAACCCAAGACAGCCACAAACCCTATTGTGCTCTGTCTGAAGGCGGCCAAATTGCCTGAAGGTTGTACGTTTACAGGTAGTCTAATGCACACTCAGCCTCCCCCTCCTGACCATCTGACCTTATGCCTTCAAGTTTAGAATCATCTTCCAGCCAATGTACATCAGGCTGCCAACCTTCATTCACAGCTTCTTTCAAAATATCTGTTACTGGCTAATGGCCCTCACTATCCACTGGCCCTCACCTTCATACACTTTCCTTCCTATCACCTTTTAATTATAAATATTTCAAAGATGGTTTCTAACAGTGCTGAACACATTTCTGGAGTGGCTTACCTTCACTTCTTTATGAGTACTTAGCTTCCTCACAAGGGAAAGGAGCCAGATGCAGGCTGCTTGCCTCACGTGTGGGTTGGGGCTGACGATATGTTTATTTAAAATCACATCCAATACCCAGGGGACCACGTCATTCACTTTGGCTCCTGGGGGGAAATAAAGGAATGATAAAATCAATTAAAACAAATGAAAAGAGTATCCTGAAAAATTAAATTTTACTCAATATTTACTCAGTACAACAATCCTAGAACATATTCAAGTCTACACGATTAAGGTGTTGAGGTTGCTGAAGGGACTGATGATCATCCATGTGAGAAGCGCAAGACATATGACACCATGGTACCTGTAACGTGTAGTCAGAAAGCGCGCACTCCTCACCAGTGTAGGCACTAAAAGCCAGCGCACCTCCAGTGCAGAGGTATGCAGAGCGTGAGCAGAAGACCCTGAGGCTTCATTATGTGATAAGGACTAAGGGACAGGTAACTTGGAAACGTAACTATGCCTCGACTTCTGAAAATGGCTAAATACACCAAGCCTCCAGAAAAAGCGCACAAGTTTGAAGGTAATACACAGCTAACTCCTTGTTTCCCAAAGAATTAAAAAAGAAGACCTCATTCATTTTGTTGTGTTCACTCTCCTTTAGCCAACTATTTTTCTTGACCGAACCAAACTGATAAGACATATCCTACAAGAGTGAAAATGGAACACATAAATTTTTTCTTTTGCTTCAAATGTGGTAACAAGACCAGAAAGGGTTACTTGAGGATTACGAAAGGGTTAGCGGAGTGTGAGGTACCAGCAGGGGGAGTATATTCCTCCTCCGTCACCAGCCAGGCGTCCCGGGCAGCCACGGAGCTCGTTCCCACCGCAGCACTGGTGAGGGCTTCGCCAATAGTGAACTGCAGTTCGATCTGCTTGGCCTGCAACCATGCAAACGAAAGCCATGAATCACCGAGAACATTTCCCCACAACATCCACTTCCACAAAAAGCTGTTTCAGATCTTGTCTGTCAACATGCTCTGTTTTTACTCTTTTGCCTGGATTGCTCTCACCTAACCTGGTGGCTCGGAGGGGAGGCAAGGGGAGGGAATGGAGAATGTGAAAATGCCCTGAAGATCTTTTTCCAAGCCCACGTTGCCCTCTTCACCCTCGGCAGAGAACCACTAAGCAGGGATTTTTAATCTCTGGAGGAAAAGGGTATGGACTAAAGCCATACAGATCTCGGGGCAAATTCTTATCTGTCGCTCACCGGCTACATACACTTATTTAAACTGAGCCTCAACTGCGTTTCTAACGCAGGCGTAACACCATCGCCCAGCTCGTCAGGCTGTAGGAGGAAATGAGGGTAACGTACACAAAGCTTCTAGGGGACACCTGGTAGGCAGTAACAGCAGCCATTCTAACTTATTAATACCGCCTCTGGGCGCTGTTAAATTACATGGTGTCCACGAGCTACTCTCCAATGGTTCCGATAAAGGAGAGAACGCGGTAAAATGGTAAAACTTGGTGTATCTGGATAAAACAGTATAGTATAGAAGTACAGAGATCCATGAAGAGCTAGCTAGCTCCAATAGCAAGTTAATAATCCAGACAAGAACAGTTCTTCATGCTATTCTTACAACTGCACTGTAAGGTTGAAATTGTTTCAAAAACCAAACATTAAGAAAATTCTATATAGTATATACTCAAATTTTTAAAATTTTTTTTTTGAGAGAGAGAGAGAGCGAGCATGTGCAAGCGAGCAGGGGGGAGGGGCAGAGGGAGAAGGAGGAAGAGAATCTTTTTTGTTTGTCTGTTGTTTTTTTTGGAGAATCTTAAATAGGCTCCACAACCAGCACAGAGCCCGACATGGGGGCTCGATCTCATGACCCTCAGATCATGACCTGAACCAAAATCAAGAGTCAGATGCTTAACCGACTGAGCTGCCGGGTACCCCTCAAATTTTTTTAACTTGGTTTAGAAAATTTTGACACATTGGGGCACCTGGGTGGCTCAGTCAGTTAAGTGTCTGACTCCGGCTCGTCATGATCTCAGGGTCCTGGAATTGAGCCCCGTGTTGGGTTCCTTGCTCAGTGGGGAGGCTCCTTCCCCCTCTACCCCTCACCCCCACTTATGCACACACGCCTGCTCTCTTTCTCAAATAAATAAAATCTTTTTTCTTTTTAAAGATTTTATTTATTTATTTGACAGAGACACAGCAAGAGAGGGAACACAAGCAGGGGGAGTGGGAGAGGGAGAAGCAGGGCCCCCACCAAGCAGGGAAGCCTGATGTGGGACTCGATCCCAGGACCCTGGGATCATGACCTCAGCCGAAGGCAGATGCTTAACGACTGAGCCACCCAGGCGCCCCATAAATAAAATCTTAAAAAAAAAATTTTGACACGTTTCACAAGCATGAAGTATTCAACATGGAACTGGACCTTAGTTCCCTTTGGTCTTTTTCTCTGTTTACTATAAACTGGAAAACAAAGAATTTGGGGACTAAGAAGAGAATGAAGAACAGAGAGTTCCCACGAGGAGTATGGGAATAGTGACCTTGGAGAGAACTCTACCAAGCACAGACCACAGTGTAGCCAGCCATTCCTAAGCTCAATCAACTATGCTCTCATCTCGAATGAGGTGTCAAGTTCTGATGCCAGATGCTTCCTATTCTGAGGAAAAAGAATTTCAGGGCTTCAGTTCCACAGCTTCCCTGGCCAAAAAATTCTTTGGAAATTTTAAACAGAGAAAAGGTATGTAAACACAGAGGATCCTACAGTAAGGGTTCATTTTACATGCCTGTTTTCAAATGTTTTCCTTTTTTCTTCTTTAAAAATTTATGCCAGAGATGCATTTCTTCTAGTTTTATTTAAATAAATGAAGCTTTGGGGCCCTGCTGGGTGGCTCAGTCGGTTAAGCATCCGACTTGACTTTGGCTCAGGTCATGATCTCAGGGTCATGAGATGGAGCCCCAAGTCAGGCTCCATGCTGAGCGTGGAGCCTGCTTAAGATTCTCTCTCCCTCTCTCTGTCCCTCATCATGTGCACACAACACATGCGTGCTCTCTCTCTATAAAGATAATTAATTAATTAATTTTAAAAGAAATAAGATAAGAAAGCAGACACTATAAGCTTTTCCCCAAGTGGTTACAATGTCAATGACACAAGGGAGAACTTGATGTGTGTATAATTCATTCTCAAAAAATTCACATTAAAAATACTGGATTATGGGGTGCCTAGGTGGCTCAGTTGGTTAAGCGACTGCCTCCGGCTCAGGTCATGATCCCAGAGTCCTGGGATCGAGTCCCACATTGGACTCCTGGCTCAGCGGGGAGCCTGCTTCTCCCTCTGACCCTATCCCCTCTCATGCTGTTTCTCTCTCTCTCTCTCAAATAAATAAATAAATAAAATCTTTAAAAAAAAAAAATACTGGATTATGATTCCAGAGACCTGGATCCTGACACTGGCTCTGTCACTCACTGGCCTTAGTCCTCAACTCCAACCTGCTTCCTGCCTCCCACCCATCCTTCCAGGCCCAGCAGCAACCTTGCCTCCAAAAACCTGCACCAAGTCTCCAGACAGACGTGCTCAAACCCCCCCTTGTGAGTCTACTCCTTGACATGCAAACGTCTCTTCTTTCAGTTACTCTTCCCACATTTACTAAGGTCCTACTACTTCTAATCACACTGCAAGACACCTATTTCATAATGGGGATCAGGAAAGACTTTGCCTTCAGTCTAGTGAAAAATTAGAAACTGTGATAAATGCTGTGAAGAAAAAGTATGGAGTCAGGAGAGCCCAGTATCTAAGGAATCTACTCTAGTTCAGCAGCAACCCAAAAAAGGAAGTATTCATCTTTCAAAAGCTCAGAGCAAAGAAGACAAAGAGGCTGGTGTACAAAAATGTGAGCAAGTAACAAGAATTAAGCCTAGATGACGGGCCATATCAGGCCATGTTAAGACTTATGACATGGGACTAGCAACTGCCTGCTTGTAGGTCTTCCCAACTACATTAGAAATTTATCCAGACAACAGAAGCTTGGCCACCTGCCTGAAGAGCGACTGGAATACCAGCACCCACTTCCCAAATGTAGCTGATTGGGTGAGTCTCCCCTTCTACCCACACTGCACTGGGCTTTACTCAAAAACGAAGAGGAAAGTACTTTCCCATGTAGGTGATTTACTCAATGCTATGCCTACCAAAGTGGTAAGCCCAAGGCTGGTACTCAGTAAGTACTTGGTGAATAAATTAATAAAGGTTTAATTTAAAATCTCACAGCATGCCGGGGTGCCTGGGTGGCTCAGTCAGTTAAGCGTCTGCCTTCAGCTCAGGTCATGATCCCAGGGTCCTGGGATCGAGCCCCGTATCCAGCTCCCTGCTCAGCGGGGAGTCTGCTTCTTCCTCTCTCCCTCCCTCTGCCCCTCTCCCTCCCCCCCAATACTTTTTCTCTCTAAAACAGATGAAAAAATCTTTAAAAAAAATAAAATCTCACAGCATGCAAAATTCCATGCCTTTTGTTTGATTAACTGACAATCAGATAGCAATATAAATACCTCCACAGAATCCATCAGACCTTGCAAGAGGAGTTTCTGGTGAGGAAAATCTCCATCCCCAACTGGAAAATATCCCAGTGTTTGGATTGCTCGTTCTTTCATCTAGAAAACCAGAGAATTTTGCTTTTAAAAAAAAAACACAACAAAGTACGTAACAGCTTTATCCCAGAACAGTGTTTCCAAAATGAGATGACAGAGAGGGCAGTCTGTCTAAAGCACTTATGCATGCAAGTTTTTTTATAAAGTAGCCACAATTTTACAGAATTATGTGTATAAGACATTGGAGGTAGAAAGACATAAAACTGAGTTCATTAAGGGTCCATGGCTGCAAAAGAAGAAGAAAGCCTTTAACAAGGCTTATTATCCGTCACACTGTTTATAAATATAGATTCTGAGTCCAAAGGACTTAAGATCAAATCACGGCTTAACCATTTTAGCAGCCTTTACAGGTATGTGACCCTAGGCAAGTTACTGCACTCTCTGTGACTCCATTTCTTCATATGGGAAAAGAGAGATGACAAGTGTACCTACTTCACTAGACCTTCTGAAGAGTTCCATTAATTAACATATATGAAGCCCTTAGCATACGCCTGGCACATTACAAGTGCTCAACAGTGGTTGGTGAGCACTAATTAGTTAATTAATAGCTAACAAAACTACACTGCGATATTCTCAGGAAGTTTTAAATGGTACCTAGACCAAGAATAAGACTGTTTATTAAACTGGTAGTAAACTGATTCATCTGCTCATTAAATCATGTTATATTTCAACACTGAGGTACTCTGATCACAAATGTTTTAAAGTTTATGAAAGTGTTTATCTAAAACTAAAAAATGATAAATGTCCTTCTCCTCAGATATTACTCACACTGCTTCCTAACATCCAGACTTCTTAAAACCATTTTCGCTGTCAGAGGTTAAGATTCAGATTTAGTCTAAAATTACAAAAGTGATAACAACTATTTAACACTTTATTACCCACTTCCGCATGACAGAAGAATTACCCGTGCAGCTAGTTCTTCACTCAAATCCTAACAGTTATGGGTCTAAACTGGAACAACTGGGCCAAACGGTGCACGCACAGAGGTCATACACAAATCACCCCTAACTCAAAACTAAATAGTCACCTAGACTTTATCATTTTTTTTTTACATTAAATCCTTCCTCCGGCTGCACTGTCATCTATCCTCATGACAACTGCGTTTTTGCTCACTTATGTATCTATGAATAGAAAGAATTTCAGAAGAAGGGGAAAAAAGGAGAGACTTGCCTTATTTGTTTCTTTACTGGAGGGTATTCTATTCAGTAAGCTTTCTACAAGATGTGATTTGGTGAAGCCAGATCCCTCACTGGGGATTGGGAGGGGACCATTCCTGCCAATTTCCCCGAGGGCTGTGCAGGCAGCAATGGCCAGGAGGGGCGACGTACTGTCCAAAAACGAGCCTGGAAGCACATGAGCCGAGACTGAGAAGAAGACACTACTGCTCTTGGGGTCCGGGGCAAGCAGCAAGGGACTCAAGACTGTCTCAGAGACAACAGAACAAAATCAAAGTCCACATTTTCTTCTAATTGGTGGTTTGTTAACATTCAGTCAGTAATGAAACACCACGGGAACAAGGCAGACAGCACTGTCCTCTTAAAAATGTTTAAGGTTTTTCCCTGTAATGCAACCATCTCTGTCATACAGAAACACACAGGAAGAAACGTACAGAAAAATTAAAGTACTTTCATTGTTATTAAAAGCACAGAACTTATCCACCATCAAGCAAGTTTTGTGAAAAGACTTGTGCCTTTAAGGTACGATGCTGTAAAAAGAAACTAAAACGCTGTAATAAATTTGAACCCAACTCAAGGCAGCACAAGCAGGTCAAGTACCTATTGTTTCCGTGGCGCTCTGAATGAGTTCCTCTTGTTCCGGCAGGAAATCGGCATCTGTCTCCAGGTCCTGCTGCTCTGCCATTCTCATTTTCTTTTTGGCCAAGTATCTTCCTACCGTGAATCCCAACGCAAGCAAGGATCCGTGCTGTATCTCTGGGCTCTGAACCACACAATAGCTCTGTCACTCTCTCTCACATGCAAGAATGCACTGAAATAACAGTATGCTTAGGAGAGTCATCTCTCCAATAAGACATAAGGCTACAAAGTGATCATTTGAGGTTCTACTGAATGCTAACGAACCTGGAGTTTCCAACACTCAAGAATTCTGAGAAGGTAAGCTGAGTCTTGATTCACTTCGAGTAATTCCCTAACCCCACACCCACTCCAAGTCTGGGTGAAGTGACTCTCCTGCAGGCTCCCTGTAGCACCCATACTTTCTTCTAGCTTGGAGCACTTACGTAACTACACTACCATTAATTTTCAAGCATAATTTCTCCCTTCTGCCCTACTGCCAACAAAATACAATGAGCAGATACGATTTCTAACTGCTAAAACCTCTGAACACAAAGTAGAGGTTTGATTATTCGAAAGCACATGTTTCCTGACAGAACAGGCTCAATGACAGGTGGCTCTAGATGGGGAAAGAAAAAGGAACTAAGATTTCCGAGCACCTGGTAGTACGAGGGATCCTCGTGTAATCACTCCCCACTGTATTCCTAGCACCTAAAACAGCGCCGATTAGACACAAGGCACTCACAGTTGTTGAATGGACTGAATGAATCAATGTATCACCTATCTCAATTTTTCTTCACCATCATAAAAGTTCCTTTTAGAAATGAGAACACAAAAACTAAAAACATATCAGATGCTTTTAGAAAGCTCTCCCATCTCCCACAAAAAAGAACAAAGACAAAACTGATAACATACATGATTGTCTTTTGTGGTCTTTATAAGCTGTTCTATCATTGACTTCAACTCATTCCCCGACACTGTAGATACCACCACAGAATAAAACAATGCCGCCAGTTCACGCATCTCTTCTTTACTGCTATTCATCAGACTCTGAGTGATGTAGAAAAACAAATATATACGTGATATACAATCATCTTCCTACTGACAACATCTGACATTTAAAATTGAAAGAATAAATGATACATTATATTGTTCAATCTATTGGTATCGGTAAGAAAATAACACAATAAACTACGTCAAAATAAAAGCTGAATTATGTACCAAAATCTTCTGCGCATTTTCATCAAAAATACAAGACATAAAACAGACAGAATTAATACACAGATGATCTGAAACAGAGGTCAACAAATGCTTTCTGTAAAGGGCGAACAAGGCTTTGTAGGCCACCTGGTCTATGCGGCAACAGCTCCATTCTTCCACTGTAGGGCAAGAGTAGCCGCAGACAATGGAGAAATGAAGGGGTGTCTGTGTTCCAATAAAACTTTATGGACACTATAATTCTCATGTCAGAAAATACTACTCATCTTTTGATTTTTTTTCAACCATTTAAGAACGTGAAAACCACTCTTAGCTTGCAGGCCAAATAAGAAAGGAGGCAAGGCAGATTTGGTACATGGACCATACATAGTTTGATGACCCCTGATCTACACGATCAAAAGTCAAAAACTGCGATCATTTTACAATCAGCAAATATTCACAAGGAATAAAAAATCCTTTTTAAATTTGAAGCAATTTCATGAGGTCAGTTTTTCCAGAAAAGCACAAAACTTACACTTCTTGGTATATTACATTCATGCTTTCACCCTAAGAGAGAATCTGCAAATTTTACCATAATTCAAGCTCCAATTTCCAAAAAGAACTGCATTATACAGCCCAAGAGGTATATGAAACTGTATGAGCCATACCTGTACTAAAAAGAACTTTTCGTTGTTTATGTGGAATTCAAATTTAACTGCGAATCTTGTTTTTTTTTTTAAAGATTTTCATTTATTTATTTGACAGAGAGAGACACAGCGAGAGAGGGGAACACAAGCAGGGGGAGCGGGAGAGGGAGAAGCAGGCTTCCCGTGGAGCAGGGAGCCCGATGCGGGGCTCGATCCCAGGATCCCGGGATCATGACCTGAGCCAAAGGCAGATGCTTAATGGCTGAGCCACTCAGGCGCCCCGAGAATCTTGTATATTTATTCGCTAAACCTGGCAAGGCTTTTGGTGTGACCATGAGACAGGAACACTCTCCTACATGGCTGGTGGGAGTGTAAATTGGTACCAGAGGATGTGGACTATCAATAAGAACTGCAGAAGTCTATGTCCTCAATTCCACTTCTAGGGAATCCATCTAAAAAACAGACTTCCTTATATTCAAAATGATGGACTGTTCATTGCAGCAGAGTGGAAGCAACCCAAATGACTATCAGTGAGGTTCTAGAATAAATCACGGCATAGTCATACAATGGAAAAAATGAAGCTGTTAAAGAGGATGTTCCCTCTCTAGTTCTACAGAATACCTCCACATTCTAATGTTAAGTGAAAGAGGTAAGGCACAAAACAGTGTGAGAAGTTAAATAACTTAATAAAATTATACTATATGTTAACTAACTAGAATTTAAATAAACACTTGAAACAATACAACTGTGGAAACTATGTGCCTTTTGTGTAAAAGAAGGAAGAAAAATTGAAAATGCTTTTATTTGTGTGTATAGGCATAAATAAACTCTAGAAAGCACACCATAGAGAAATAAGTGATGACCTACATGTTTGTCAGGTGAGAGAGGAAGGGGCAGGAAGTTGAGAGATTTGGGTAGGTGGGAGAGAGTTACAGAAAGGAGATATTTTACATATATTTTATTTAAGCTACACAAATCTATTTTCTTAACTTTCAAAACAGAAAATACATATATATTTTTTTTACTTATATGATTCTCAATTCTTCTCTCACTCTCACCTAGATGGACTGTTGAGATACACTGACCTACCATGCTTCCCAGGAAGTGTCTGATAAAAAGAGTTTTCAAAACGACCCAAAGGCAGGAAAGGTCATAGGAACACTAGTAAGGAAGATGAAATTATAAGACTAAAGTGTAAAATATACAGAATCAAAGAGAAATATACATGCATAAGATGTACCTTTATCCATTCTGTTTTGTCTACAAATTTGGTAGCCAGTTTTTCTGGATACACGGAGACAGCTTCCAATAGACAGTACATGACTGGCAAACCTAAATAAGAAAGAATTCAGAACCATTTTAGCTTTAAGAAAAGTGATAAACACACAGGGCTCACTAAATTCCTTTAAAGTATAAGCTACTGGGACACCTGGGTGGCTCAGTCGGTTAAGCGTCTGCCTTCAGCTCAGATCATGATCCCAGGGTCCTGGGATTGAGCCCCACATCAGGCTCCTAGCTTGGCAGGGAGCCTGCTTCTCCCTCTCCCTGCAGCTCCCCCTGCTTGTGCTCTCTCCCTCTCTCTCTGACAAATAAATAAAGTATAAGGCTACTGCTTTACGAAGCATTCCCCAGTTCTATGAAACAAAAACCAACATAAATACAGTATGTGATCCAAAACAGCAAATTTATAGACTACGTATCTATAAAAAGATGCCCTGTTCTTCGCACCCACTTCCAAAGTAAAAACATTATCTACTGTTAGCATTTCTTTCCGGGAAGAGTAAGAGTGTATCAAGGATGAATCAAGTAAGTTTGGAAAAGAAGCAAAGACTCATGTTCAGTTACAGTAGTGAAGGGAGAAAATAATTTTGCTATAAATTCTCAGCTGAGTTTAAAATGAGATTTCTGCTTAAGTGCCTTAACTTCCTCCTCAGCAGCACGACCTCCTACCTCCAACACCTGCCAACAGCTGCTGAAGCAGGCCGATGTAGATCTGAACAGGGTGGGTTTCTCCACTCTTGGAAGAAGATGATGAGGATGTCGCCTGGCCGCCTGACAGCAAGGTCCGTATGTAGCGTCCAATGGCTGGGGCGTGGTCCTGCATATCAGCCAGACTCTGGGAGGTGGGCACCACTCCCGCACTGTGCGCTAGGCACATGCGCAAGTACAGGACTATCTAAAAGCAGCAGGAAGAAGAATACCAGACAAGCTCCTCAAGAAATCAGTATGGGAGGGAACTCTTCAAAATGAGTTTCCCATTTTCATTCCCCCACCCCCCCCTTCATAAAGCTGTTCAACAATCCTCACGAAAGCTGGAAAACATGACTCAGTACGTTAACTGAAATTACCATAATGGAGCACAACTTACATAACAAGCTTTTATAAATCCAGAGTGTTTTTAGTGGAGTTTAATGGAGTTAAAATGCAAACTCAACTTTTAAGGTCTAAACTAATAATTACAGGGACGCCTGGGTGGTTCAGCCAGTTAAAGCCTCCGACTCGTGATCTCAGCTCAGGTCATGATCTCATGGGTTGTGAGACAGCCCTGCGACTGGCTCCACGCTCAGCGGGGAGTCTGCTTGAGATTCTCGCCCTCTGCGCCTCCCCCACTCGCATGCTCGCACTCTTGCTCTAACAAATAAATAAATCTTTTTAAAGATTAAAAAAAAAAGTCTAAACAATTACAATAAAAACTGTTATTTTTGAAAGCTGGGGGGGAGGGGAGAGTGAGCAGAAACCTGGGGCAAATCATCTATTCCTGTGGAACTCCAGTTGTATTTAATCTCCACTAGCATAAGAATTTGAGAAAATGGGTTCAAATCATAAGAGTAGAGACAGCACCATAAAAACTTCTGATATAGGGGCGCCTGGGTGGCTCAATTGGTTAAGCGACTGCCTTCGGCTCAGGTCATGATCCTGGAGTCCCTGGATCGAGTCCCGCATCGGGCTCCCTGCTCAGCAGGGAGTCTGCTTCTCCCTCTGACCCTACCCCCTCTCATGCTCTCTCTGTATCTCATTCTCTCTCTCAAATAAATAAAATCTTAAAAAAAAAAAACAAAAAAACTTCTGATATAAACTGGCTACCCAAGGAGTCCTCCTGAAGCTCTTTCCTTGACAGCTAAAATAGGCAGCAATTCCACTGTGGGTATCTTACTCTGAACAAGATTACCTCTTGTCATTTAATTAGTGCAAGTCAATGACCTAAACAACAGATAATCCAAACAACCTCAACATAGCACTGGCTTTAAAATTCAAATCTAATTTGCTGTAAAATCACAATAGTAATCAATGCAGAGCACCCAATTCTTCCACAAAGAATCTCACTGAGATAAATATATTTATAGACTCCACTACGAACTGAAATAATACCAATTACCCAACACTGTTTTTCTAATAAACAATCTGGTGAAGGACAATGACATCACAATATGGGTTTATCTAGAACACAAAAAAATTCAGACATCTCTTTGGGTGTGACATTATCTTTTAGAATGTTTAGAGAGAGCAAAATGGAAATAGGTCCAAGTCCTACCTCTCCAAAGGCTGCTGGGTTAAATGGAAGGACAGTAGTCCCAGTCATGTACTTAGCTGGAGTTTTCATTCGATGGGAAGCCTAAAAAAATAAGCCAAAAACAAACACAATTACTAAAACATGGAGCACGTGTGCCCTTCCTCAATTCAAAAATAACTGTATTTCTAACTACATTATTGTTTGCTACTGTTTTTTCCTAAATCAAAGCATTTTTCCATCAATCATGCTGATTTGCACATGTCCCTCAAACCCTAAATGATAGGTGTGGTGTCTTTTCTTCTTCCTGTTTTTACTGGCATATTTAAAAAGAATAAACCTGCTCAGGGCACCTGGGTGGTTCAGTCAGTTGAGCATCTGACTCTTGGTTTCGGCTCAGGTCATGACCTCTGGGTCGCAAAACTGAGCCCTGTGTCAGGCTCTGTGCTCAGCGGGGAGTCTGCTTGAGATTCTCTCTCCCTCTGCCCTTGCCCCTCACATGCGTGCACGCACTCTTTCTCTCAAATAAATAAATAAATCTTAAGAAAGAAAGAAAAAGAAAGAAGAAAGAAAGAAAGAAAGAAAGAAAGAAAGAAAGAAAGAAAGAAAGAAAGAAAGAAAGAAAGAAAGAAAGGAAAAAGAAGAAAGAAAGAAAAGAAGAAACCTGCTCCAGGCATCTACGAACAGTCACCTCAGGCCACTGCAGTCCAGTTACTTTCATTACTAATGGAGGCAGGAGGAAAAGATGAGCACAAAAACATCTTCTGACCACAAATATGACTGTGCCTCAGAGAAAAAAATCATGACTACTTAGTCCTGACCTCCAATTCCCTTAAGATGTCTATCTAAATAAAAAGCCAGGACCACCAGCATACTCAAAGAAACACTGACGTAAAAAGTGGGACAGGATCAGGACTGGGGGTCACGACAGCCAATACTCTTGTCTGATCCACCAGCAGACAGAACCACACACACACACACAAGGCTTGCAAAAGCAGACGTGATGTTCTCTTATGATCACAATGGAAAAAATCTGAACTGTTCCCTGAAGCATTCTTAAATTTATGGTTTCCAAATAATATCCTTAAAAATACAAAAAAAAAAAAAAAAAGATATTTTTAAGCATGTCATACCAAGGAGAAAATTTTTAAACCCAGCCAAAATGTTGACAAGCATAAAAGGAATTTAAGTAATTCAGATTGGGGCAAAACAGATCAATTTTGAGAATTACATTTTTCTCTTCATTTTGTATTTTCGTCCTCTCATTGTAAATATTAACATTGTTAGAAACCTTACTAATATTCAACATTTAGTGATAACATTTTAAATGTGTCACCTAAAAAAATACATGTTTATTTTCATGATTCATTATATGACCCAAACTAACTATCTGAAGTTAAATGCCATACCTTTTCGTGAATATAATACACCATTTCCGGGAAAGAAGGCATCTGCTTAGAAGCACTTTCTTTTCTGTTTCTACCAGGAAGACACCTTAATACTCGCTGTGCTTCTCCATGAACTTCTTCCCGTCTTACAGAAAGACAAATAGGAATAAAATATAAATTGCAATGACAGAATGATCATGTGATGATTAAGAACAGTCATTTTATTTGACAACGGGGGATCTGAGAAAATGTCTTAAATATATTCTTGGCTATCTAAGCAAAGAGTCATAAAATACATTTTAAGAAACTACTTCTTTGTGGAAATTTCTTGAAATTTGAAGAGTTACGTGGCTTGCATCTTTTAAGTTTACCCACAGAAAAAAAAGAAGATAGGGTATAACTACAGGTCTGTATCATATCAAGGGCCATATTTTTAACTCTTTAATAAACTGCTTCCAAATTCCATAGAGCAATACTGAAAACAATATAAATTTTAGTAATTCTCAAATAATTTAATATGAACCCAAATTCAAATTAACACCTTTTGAAACTTACGGATCTCCTGCAGCTAGTAAGAGCAAATATCTGGAAGGTATATGATCTGAGGGAAACACCGTGCTAGCAAATTTCACAGCCACCTGTCGAACTTGAACTTCAGGCTATTTAACACATAAATACACGCACACACAAACACATAACAGATTTTAAAAAAAGAAGAAGAAAGAAGAATCCAATTACCAACAGCTCATTCCAGTCAAGATAAGTCATCTTAATTGTAAACAATTAAAAATGAAGTTTTTTTAATAACTATATCTAAGTAAATAAAATGAAGACAAATCATTTGTTGAAAATCTTTAATCAAGTTGTTTAAAAGTCTTTTGGACAGCGGCATCACTTAAAAAGTACTTTTATGAGCTAAAAAAGGACCCTCCAAGTAAAGCAGGAAGACCCACAAAGACCATAGCCAGAGAATGTCCCTGTACACGCACATCCTCCGCCCAACTTTGGGACCACGGTCACTGTGAACAGTTTTCTCGCCGTCATCTCTGCTTCCCCAACCCTCAAACTGTCAGTCACATGAATGAAATTAAGATATTTGGCAGGGAACACAAACAGAGGTTACTTGGAATCTCTATAAATGTGAAGCAAATTCGTCTCCAAGTTTTTCAGATTAGCTTTAGTTAAAACTGACTCCGAAGGAGTTTCAACTACATGAATATATTCAATTCACCTAAACAGAATAATGAACAAATCTACGAATACAAAGTTCAATGAGAGAAGCAGCTGAAGAACCTTTATTCTGAAAAGCCTTATTCTCATGTACCTTTCCCCCCAGGTCATTCTCCTAGTCACAAACCTAACATAGTGAGATGAGAGTGATATTAAGAAACAGATAATGGTCCTATTCATTCAGGTATTCTTGCTCTTTAAGCATTCCTTGAGCTACAATCAAGAGCAGTGATACTAAGGACTAGTTCGTATGATTTAGCCTAGAGTCTGGTTGCTTTAAATGTAGTCTGAGAAAAGAACACCAACTAGCTTCGGTTTAGTAACATTGCTGCATGATTTGATCTGCATACGTATAACCAGAACCCACATGCATTATACATGCATCATACATCCTTATACGATTACCTAGGGAAAGATTTAAGTGTTCTATTCTAATGAGCTTCCAAATAAGCCCATACTTCTTTGTCCACAATATAGGACTATGAACCATGTACAAGAGCATCCGACAGTGGAACTCAATATACAGTAATGTTCCTGAGTGTACATAATAATCCTGTCACATTTCAATAGAAACCAGATACCTTTCTGAACCTTTAGTAATTCCCTCGATAGCAATGTATTAAATATGCCAGCCAAATTTCAGTAAGACACAATATATATTAATCACACCAATACTTTTTGACATCATTCCCTCTTCCAATCTCTCTCTTTCTACTCCTAGAAATGGAGGACAAAGAACTGACTATAGCAAGTCCATATTATTTTATATTGTATACTATATATTACATATACATATGTGTATATACAGATACTCAAAATTTCCTATAAAATCCCATGACAGTCAAATAAAGAGGACTAGAAGGAAGAAGACTATGTATGATAGTACTGGCTTACTTCCTACAGACTCGATTTTAAGGTATAAAATTTGTCTTTCTTTCCTTCTGCTTTTCCCCCAGTGTTGGCTATAGAACTCCATCCCAAAGGACTGTAGTGTTCAGCTACCAAGTAAGACAAAAGACTTCCAACTTGGAGGACACGACATCAAGAACAGTTTCCCAACATGAAAGGCTTTAAACATAAAACTTCTGAGAATATCACCACTCCTTCTCCCCTAAAATCAGATTCCCATCATGAAGAATTAAAAATCAATCAGAAATCACAGTCCTGGGCCGCCTGGGTGGCTCAGTTGTTAAGCACCTACCTTCGGCTCAGGGTCACGATCCCAGCGTCCTGGGATCAAGTCCCACATCGGGCTCCCTGCTCAGCAGCAGGGAGTCTGCTTTTCCCTCTGCCCTCCCTCTGCCGCGCTCTCAAATAAATAAAATCTTTAAAAATAATAAATCACAGTCCAAGTGAAAGCAAATATTCTTCTTAATTGTCAAGATCATTAAGGAAAAAAAGCAATTCCAATTCTGTTCTTAAAAATGTACACTGTATCACCAATCATCGCAGTTCACATAGCTGGACCTACCTTTATTAAGTACGAAGCCACAAGTGCCTCCATGAGAGTTCGCTGTGCTCCCTCCAAAGTACTATAAGCTCCCACCATCATAGACAATGCTTCTTGAATAGCAAGCCGAGTCTCAGGCTCTTCCTATAAATATAATAAAAATAGCGTTTCCCTCCCTGTCGGGTTTCCAGGTCAGCATCCAAGCGGAAAGCATAAACTTGCTGGGTGTTTCCCTACCTTACAAAGGGCTTCAAAAAGCTGCTGCACAAGAGCTATATCCTTGGTGAATAAATGGGGCATTCGACTGTAAGAGAATACAAGACCATTATTACGATCATCAATTTCCACGATGTTAGAAGAAAATGTAACTCAACACAAATTTTCTTGAAATGCATTTTCATCTCTAAACATAATGTCGACATCATTAGATTACCTCCCCAAAGAGCCAAATATTGTTAAAAGTAAATACTTAGTTCTTCAACTGTCTAATATAAGTAACCCATGATTAAAATACATACTATCCAGATAGAGCCTTTATAAGATTCCATGCATTCAGTTAACATTTCTGATTTTAACATAAGAAAAATAGACAATTAAGACCAAACTGCTACTTAAACTAAAGGCTATCGTGTAAGTGCTGTATCAGGTGACTGAGGGTAGCTTTCCTCTGAACCCCAAGGATCCTTTCCCTGCAGACAGAAGAGCAAGACCCAGTCCACACAGGCCAGTAAGGGCCCTGCACCACGCTGGCAGCACCACATGGTGCCACAGTCTCCCTGCTCTGAAATATAGGGAAGGAAGAGGAAACCAGGAGGAAGTGGAAGGAGGAAATCATACCATAAGCAGAAGAAAAAAAATCCACCTCTGGAAACGGGCCACCCAGAATCATAATATACCACTATCAGGAAAGAGAGTCAAGAGCTAAACCTTGATGACTGTGGTTATAAAGACTAGTGGTAAGCAGCCACAAGAACACTTAAGGTCAATCAAATGTCTCCAGGGTGCAAGAAAAAGTAACCCGTTAAGACACAATCCAGTTCAAAATCTCATTTCAAGACTACCATTTAATATGGAAACATATCTATCTTCAAATGGAATGTCTCACATCATTTTCCTTCTACAAGGAAAACATTCCTAAACAACCCTTGGCCATTAAATACATTTCCTTTCAAAATCACAACCAATTTATTCTCCATCCATTATTAAATGCCACATAATTTTTCTTAGTTTACCAACAGGGTATCTCTCACTGAAGAAGAGTTTACTCACCTGGAGAGTTTTCCAACAGCTGAATATGCCATTGACAGTAGCTTAGGGTCCTTGAAATTAAGAAAAAAAAAAAAAAGAACAAAAAACAGACAAAACAAAAAATACAGTAAACGGCAAAACCTTTTTGCTGCAATTACATGCATTATTTTACTCCTTGTTAAACCTGGTCTCACTCTGCCTAACTACATGATATTAGCATCTAACAAAACAAACAAACAAAAAAAAGTCCAAACCCAGAATCATCACACTACTAAAAGGAAAAACAAAACAAAACTTTGCATCCCCAACTCACTCCAAAAGGAAAATACAGAGGCCATATATGAAAGGGTTCTCTCAGCTGGTGCTAAATTCAGGATATTTTCAACACTATGTACCCTGCAAACACCAACGCACTGGGAAAACAGCTTAACTTATCAGAAAATTCACCACTGGTCGCACAGACTAGGATCCTCCATCTCTCCCCCCAAAACTGCAGTAAACTGGGGAACGATTACCTAAAACTCTGCATGATAATAAAGAGCTTCCCCTCATATCTTCCATTATAAAAAATGAAAGGGATCATAGTCATCAAGTGAGTGAGGTTCCCTCCTCAGACAGACAGAATTTTATATTGTTTTATGAAAACCAATAGTCTGATTACTCAGAAAAAAAGGAACACCTCTGTGAGTTGAAGTTTATACAATTAACATAGGACTCACTCTTCCACACCTCGATGGACACACTTACAGATTCATCTGTTGGGAAGTTCTGCAGGTACCTCCAGGAGGTACAGAGATTAGGGACCTATGGTTTATCTGGCCTCTCGAATTTATTTTTAAATATACAGATTCTCCCTAAAAGCCCAAAAGCATTTTTATTTCTACCAACCATCCCAAGCATCAGACTATGTATGCCATTAAAAAAACTCTGAAAGGTTCCCTAGGCCTCAAAAACCTTGCAAGCACTATTCAGTAAAGGATAGGAGAGCCAGGCCTACCACTGCTCCCAAAGGAACTGTACAGGAATGAACAGCTTTTCCCTAATAATAATACCTACTAAAGGGCATTCGATGTGCTGAACAATTTTTGTGTATAATCTCATTTAATCTTCACAATAATCCAACGAAGAGGTATTATTTTCATTTTTCTAATAAAGAACAGAACTCCAAAGAATTTAAGCAACTCATCAAAGAACAAAACTAGGATTCAAACTCAATTTTAACTCCAACTGGCAGAATGTTAATTACTATACAACTGCAAACATGCATTCATGTTTAGTTAAGACTTAGGAAAATAATGCTAACTAGAGTTCTTGAAATACTACTTTCTTTAACAAATTCACCTGAACTAATGAAGATGGTAAGAGTGACACAGCAAGGACAAAGGGGATTCCAAAGAATCCTCATCCCACTTAGCTTAAGGAATCAAAAACTTACTGAATGCATGTTTTTATAGAATTTTGAACTGGTAAAAACTCAGCCCTTAAGAATTAACACTATTTCTAAATATAAGCAAATCCAAATAAACATCCATATGGAAACAAATCATAAAATAAAATTTAATGCTTTCCATTCCATTTTTGCACAGTGCCTAAAAGCAGAATAAAATGCAGTTGCTTTAAAAGATGTTATTTAAAGAAGCAATAAGACCCCTCGAAATTCGTACTGTATTTTTAACACTTAATTCCAAAAACAAAAAAGCAAAAGATGGCAGTAATTTCTGAAATTCACACCACTTCAAGTAAAAAGATTAAGAAATGATGGAACAATAGCAAACTGTAACTAACTAAACAAACATGCAGACCAGAAAGATTGGTAACAGAAAATATTTTAAAATATAAAATGTTAACAGTGTTTAAAAGACAAGTCACTTACTTCTTTATATTCATTGATTAGCTTGGTGAGGCCATTCAAAAGCATTGGACCTAATGGCTTAATCTTGATTTCTGGACAACTTTAAAAAAATAGCACACATACACAAAAGCAAGATAAGAATCTCATTATTAGCGTATCTTTTCAGATGATGACTTAAAATAATTAGAGACACAACTGAAATAACCTATTAAAACCTAAAATTTTTTTAAGATGAGCAAACATGGTTTCTTTCTGGGTAAGAAAGAAATACTTGAATCATTTGACCACTCCAACAGCTTGAAATTTTACAAATAGTTCAAAAAAACTTACGTTATACAAATATGATGCACAAACTGCAGGGATAATGTTCTCAATTTTGAATTTGTATTTGTACCAAAAAGTCCATCATATACCACCTATGAAAAAGAGACAATGTCAAGAACACCAATTAATAATAGCAATTTGCTATTCTCAGATATTAGTCAGGATTCAACAGCAGATGTTGTGCACTACCCCTTGTTATTCAAACACAGTTCTTTTTAATACAGATAATCATCTTAGCTGACCAACTTAGGAAGCCGTCAGTAACTCCAATCAGGAGTCTGTGGAATAACGAACACAGTGGTTGATCTTGACAGTCTGCAAAACTTGTGGATCTACCACCAGAAAGCAACAGAGTTCACAGTGGGCCCTCAATCTGCCACTCCACATCACACAGGGGACATGAGCAGATAAAGCCACTCTGGTCCCTTAATTACATGTAGTCAGTCATTCCAAACAAATTGTAATAAAAGCTTCATGGAAAATGTCAAGATTAAAGCATTCATTCTACAAGCGTAGAATACAGGTACTCCATGTATGGTGTAGTCATGCCTAGGTGGCAACAGATCACACAGGTGAGTCCTGTACAGCATCTAGAAGGTTCAGACATTAGACAGCAATGTCAAAGAAATCTAAATTCCTCAAATTCCCACTTTCTATGGGATGGATAGTCTTACACTTAGAAAAAAAAAAATCTCCTCACATTGGTTCCTAAAATGACTAGCAGTATTCTGATCTTACTTAACAAGGGCATGTGACTGAACAGGACTGAGCTCTGCTGGGTAACCAACACTAGCCAGGTACTATGAGACACAAAGAGACAAGCATTGCTCCCAAGGCACTCGATCTGCTTGAGGGATTAAATGTACATACATTAAAAATGATACAGGACAATATATAATCACATGCTACCTTATCTGGAAAAGACTTCTAGAAAATTTATCTGATAATGCTAAATTATACAGAATAATATGGTAAGATAAAAGAAGCAAAAGAATCAGAATACTAATGTTTTATCAGAAAAAATAAAATTCACTGTGCACATATTATACACGAAGAATTATGCTGGGTACTTTCATACGTTCAAAATCAGGGTGAGGTACTATGTGCCTCGTTAAAGCCATTGGTATCAGGAAAGAAGAGGCTCATCTGAATGATGCCCTGAAGGATTTCTATAATTGACAGGTGGAGAAGAGAGGGGGTAGGGCCAATTATGTAGGAGAACAGTAATGCAATCATTAAAAATGGGACTAGAAAGAAGAATGTGTGTGAGGGACAGTGAGTTTGTCTTTGAATACACCAAGTTTTAGCCAGATTTATTTGGAAAACATATAAATAACTACAAATAAAGTACACACAGGATGTCTATGAATATTTTGTCACAAAATTCTAGCTGCTGGTGGCGCCTGGGTGGCTCAGTCGTTAAGCGTCTGCCTTCGGCTCAGGTCATGATCCCAGAGTCCTGGGATCGAGCCCCGCATCGGGCTCCCTGCTCTGCGGGAAGCCTGCTTCTCCCTCTCCCACTCCCCCCTGGTTGTGTTCTCTCTCTCGCTGTGTATCTCTCTCTGTCAAATAAATAAACAAAATCTTTAAAAAAATTTAAAAAAAAAATTCTAGCTGCTTCTCATGTAATGTAGTGTTACTACAACCAAAGTTTCTGAACCAAAATTATCAAGACACTATCCAGGAAACAGTGCTTGCAAACACCAATTATAAAACACCAATTATGAAAAAGAATGACAGAAGCTCTGGGATAATTTTACATTTATGAGACACAGAGAATACTTTAAAGTCATCAAATATTAGAGTGCCAGATAGGGGGAATAAAAGTTTTATCATCGACGGGGAGGAAGTAGCCACTTCAACAAAATAAGCCTTAAGAGGGAGAGATGCTAAGACTGAAGTCTAGGCCCTCCATACAGTGAGCACGATGGCAAGTGTTCTCACTTTGGGACTGAAAAACGAGAGCGGCAGGAAGTGGGAACATTACAGATGGGAGGCGACACACTGGAGGGAATCCTGAAACAGGAGTAGATGTTGACCAGGCTAAAAGGGGAACGGGGCGGGGGGGGGGGGGGGGGCTCTGGCTGGCAGAGGGAACATCATGAGCGGAGACACGGAGCCGTGAAAACAGCGTCTTTAAAGAGGAACAATCTTCTGTTGGAGCATAAGGTACAGGGCAAGGGGGAGGTGAGACAGGAGACCAGAAGAGAGAAAACTGCTACCCCGTCAGCAGATAACTCGGAACGTGGTAACTGAATGAGTACCAGCCACTGTGCTCTCAATTTTCTACGACCCCATTCCGTCTTCAAAACCTTGCTACGAGTAAGCTGCTGTTATTACACCCATTTTACAGATTCAAAAAAGAATTTCTTAAGAAAAACAGAAAAAAAAAAAGAAAGAAAGAAAGAAAGAAAGAAAAACAGAAAAAACCCTGAGGCTTATTTAGGATCTACAGCAAATAACTGATGACAAAATTTTACTCCAATCTATCTGCTACCTGAGCTGAGCTGGCCACCACTTGGGCAAAAAAAGCAGGAGCTTTTGCAGAGGGACTCGTGTCCTGTACCAACAGAGTACAAGGATTTCCAACTGCAACAAAAACTCTGGTGGCAACAGAGAAAACAGGCTGACTGTCTTTCAGATGAGAGGAAGGGAAACAAGCTAGATTACTGTGATGGCCAAAGTGAGAAGGCACAGTCCCAATTAACACCAGCATTAGCTGGAGGGAGATGAAGCTCTTAAGGAGGCAGAATCAAGAGAATATGGCCACTGCTGTTACGCAGGGGTTCAGTTAAGGATGACGCTTGATAACTGAATTTTTCCACTTAACTGACCACCAGAAACTTGGTTGCCTAAGACAAACATTTTTCGAGAAAAGCCGCCCAGAAAAGCACTAGTTTGAAAGGACAGTCACCATACATTTGAGTGTTAACTATATACAGTATGTACTCTATAACAAAAAATTTTTTAACCATGTCTGCAGCTAAACCTGAGATAGAAAAAAAAGATGGAATCTCATTAGACTTGTTACGAACATCAACATACCTCCCGAATATGCGTTAATGCAGTTCTTTCTGTAATTAGACAGACATAAAAGTTGTAAACAGGCCATTTTTCTCTGGAAAGAATGAATTACCTGGATGTTAGCTGGGAACGTTTCTGCAGCTTGTCTAGAACGAAGGAGATGGGGGACAATCTTTAACTTAACCCTTGTACTGACGGGGTCCCTCTTCAGCTCTGGTTTCAGAACTGCTCCCTGTTAAAAATATGTTTAATTATAACTCAGCAGTTCAAAATTACTACTCACTGAAAACAGTCATGAGAAATCATAAAATCAGTGGTCTCTCAATCTTTTGTTTCAAGATTCCTTTACACTCTTAAAAACTACTGAACCCTCCAAAGAGCTTTTGCTATACTGGAATACCTATCAATATTTGCTAAATTAGAAATTAAAACTGAGAAATTTTTAAATATTCATTTAAAATTATAATAATAAATCCATTATACATTTTCATAAATAACGTATTTTTAAGAAGATTAACTATATTTTCCCAAACAAAAAACTGTACTGAGTGGCACTGTTTCACGTTTTCTCTAAGTATCTTAATTGTCCACCTTGACAGAAGAGAGTTGGATTCTTTTCTCTTCTGCCTTCAATCTGTTCTGGTATGTTGTTCTAGTTAAATTACATTAAAAAAAAACAACAACAACTGGCACTGGTTGTGGCCAAAAGAACAAAACAAAACCCAGTTTCATAAAGATATGTGTTTGGAAAAGTGGGGATGATTTCAGCCTTTTCAGGTAATTCCAGGTATTCTTTGATACTACAGCAAAACTTAATAAACAATAGTTTCTTAAAGGCTAGTTACAATTTGGATTTGAAACCTTCTCACTGAACTTTTGTACACTCTGTTATACTAAATTCCACTGATCTGTGTTGCCCACTGAATGGCCCCCTCACCCTCGTAATGCTTCTGTAACATCACCGGCCATTTGGAAAGTACTGGCTCATGAGTGAAGCAAACATTTCATTATGAAACATTTTTTTAAATCACATGTCATTATCACCACCAATCTAATCAGAAAAATCTGTAGGTACTGACAAAATGTCAGGCTCACGGTGACGGATACAAGTTTCCCCAAATTGTAATTTTTGCTTGAAAGTCCAACTTTTACCACTGCCAATAAACCTCGTGAATTGTTTTTCTTGAAGCCTCATTCCTTCATTTTAGAGAACGTATCTGCCAAATACCATCTCGATACCCACAGTTTCCCAGTCTACAGGTAAATAATTTTTACTGCTTCATCAAAGATATTTTTTCCTATTTTTTTATTTATTTTAGAGAGAGGGAGAGAGAAAGTATGCATGAGGAGGAGGCGCAGTGAGAGAGGGAGAGAGAATCTGAAGCAGACTCCACACTGAGCATGGAGCCTGACACGGGGCTCAATCCCACGACCCCGAGATCACGACCCAAGCAGAAACCAAGTGTCAGCTACTCAACTGAACCACCCAGGCACCTCATCGAAGATATTCTTCAGTAAAGCTGGGTTTTATTCTCTCTCTCTTTTTTTTTTTTTTTTACCATGAGTGCTGACAGTTAAGAACACAATAACTACTAGTACTATTTAGTGACACAGTTTTGGTTCGTGCTAGGGCCCCAGCAGTTACACCCACCATTGTCAGCGCACCGTCAGTGCAAACATCGACATGATCAAAAAAAAGCTCCCTATGACCCGACAGGGGTGAAGAAGCACTGATCTAATCCAACCCTTTCATTTTCTCCACGAAGAATATGAGGCCAAGAAAAGCCCTGTGATTAGCTATTCATTACCAATAGCTTGTTATCAATAACTCATTACATCCACGGCCCAATTGGACACCCACACAAGAAAAATGGACTGTATTTCACTCTCCTCCCCAGTACATTTGTGTGCAGCCATTCAGGACTAGAACCCAAGGGGGAGGCTCCCAATTCCCAATTCATTGTTCTTTCTGCCACATCACACTCAATTTAATCTAATTGGAAATAGTATGATGGGGGGGGATTATGATTTTTAAAACAACTATTTATGGTTTAAAAAGCAAGCAAGCAAATAATCCTTGTATGTCTGGATTTGAACATGAGAACACTTTTAAACACAGTGAACTGAACAGAATTTAGCTTATTAAGCAAACACCTTACTTGGAGGCTTCAGAAGAACCCATCTATGGTCCTAGATTTTAGACCAGAGGTCAACAAATGAGCCAATGGGCCAAATCTGGCCCACCATCTTTCTTGATAAAGCCTATGAGTTAAGAATAGTGCCTTATGTTTTCAAATGATTTTTTAAAAATCAAAAGACTAGTACTTCAGAATATGTGAATATTATATGAAACTCAAATTTCAGTAGCCATGAAGTTACACTGGCATCCAGCCATGCTCCTTCGTGTGTTGCCTACAACTGCTTTCATGTTAGGGCAGAGTTGAATAGTTGTTGCCCCACAACCACATGGCCAGCAAAGCCTAAAAAACTGACAGAAAAAGTGTGTGGATCCCTAATCCAGAGATTGTATCATCATTATTTAAGTATAGGAATTGAAACGACCAGCTCAAATAAACTAAGTTACCAGGAAATCTTAATCCACCCAGACAACATGGCTTAAAACTAGTATTTCCTCCAGGATAAATTCAGCTTAAGTCAAAATAACTAGGAGAGGGGCGCCTGGGTGGCTCGGTCGTTAAGCGTCTGCCTTCGGCTCAGGTCGTGATCCCAGGGTCCTGGGATCGAGTCCCGCATCGGGCCCCCTGCTCCGCGGGAAGCCTGCTTCTCCCTCTCCCACTCCCCCTGCTTGTGTTCCCTCTCTCTCTCTGTGTCTCTGTAAAAAAAAAAATAAATAAAAATCTAAAAAAAAAAAAAAAAAAACTAGGAGAAAAAGTTCAAATATATGGAGCTCATGTCAACCAAATGCTTTTTATGATGATGTGAGAATAAACCAAAACAACCTACCTCTTTTGTCTTCAGTGGTATATCTCCAAGGTATACCTTGTACATCTTATTAATGATGGCAGGATTATTCCAGTCAATCAAGCTACAGAAGGTTTCAACACAGCTTGTTAAAATTATTTTTTTGGTCCCACTTCAATGATTTCAAAAAATACATAGCCCCAATATTCGTTACCAAAGGAAAATGTCAGAAATACACAAATGAACTGAGCAACTGACTTGTAGAAGAGAAGGAAAGGGATTAATTTAGATCAATGTTAATTTCTAAACAGAAATCCAGGAAGTCACTTGTCCCACCCTGATTCAATAGCTCATTACATCCACAGCCCAACTGGACACCCACACAAGAAAAATGGACTGTATTTCACTCTCAAGGCCAACGCCACGGAGCAGTTCCAACAGAGCAGAGCTATAGTACACTTGTTCAAAGAGAACTGAGGCAAGCATCATTCTTCTGTTGAACTACCTGGAAACCCAAAAGTGATAAGGAAAGTGACCCAAAAATAAAAAAATTATCCGTTAAAGCCCCAACCCTAAGAAGCTGGCAGCCCCTCCCATTTCTCTTATATTGTGTTACCAGGACCCCCAGCCTCCCGCTCTTCCTTCTCTGCCAGCACATATTTGCAGTTTCATCACCTAATCCTAATAGCAGGCATGCTGCCATTAGTCCCTGACTTGCTCCTACTCAGGCCCCACTGTCAGGTGAATGAGGATACAACACTGTATCCTACAACACCCACCCCCTGCAGCAGCCCCTCCCAGTCATGTTACAAACCTAGCGGTACTGCAAGCCTGCGTTTCACTTCATCAGTGAGATTTAACCGTACTATCTTCTCTCTGCCTTTTGACATTGGTTCTGCTTCCAAGCTATGTTCTAATCTGTGCAAACACAATTTCTTATGCTGCTCTGACAGGTTTTCTAATCCGTCTCTTCTTTCACAGTTCATCCATCTGCCTCTTCCTCAGATAGCCACAATTCCACAATACCTCCATCCTCGAAGATGTTCCACCATTCCATTTTAGTTTTTATTCACCTACACTCTCCTCAGATGACTGCTACTAACTAATCCTCAAGCCCCACCTTTGTCTCCCTTCTATAAATACATCAGGCGTACAGATTTTTGACAACACGTACCCATTTTAGTAAAGCTTAATGGTAAAAACAAACTAAAAACTAAAAATTTTCACTGTTTCCTCTACTTTTCCCCTTGCCATCTTTCTAGGTTTTTTTATTTCATGTTTGTTGTGAAAATTCAGAAATGTACAGAAACTTATAATCTGTATACCATATCCCTCTCTACTCCTTTTCAGTAACCACTAACTTTGGTGTATCTTTTTCTAGACTTCTTTCTTATGCATGTAAAACCGGTGGATGGTATAGCAGGTGGGTAGGTAAAGAAACAGATCAAAAGAGAGATGCATCACTTGAAGAGATACTTCAGGATTTTTCTTTTAACAAAATGGGAAAATATCTACATACCGTTCTCAACTTACTTTTTACCTCTTAACAATGTTAAACTCCTCTTATGAAAAAAATGCACACTTGTTTTAAAAGACAAAATCGAAACGAACTAGAATACTTCTGCACCACATTTACATTTCTAACAATCCAATCCACTACATGGTGTAAAGAATGGGGCCAGCTCAAACACAATGAGAAGTTTTAAAGGAAGATTTTTTGATACTTCGAAACCAAATAAATTCTTTGAAAGGGATACCAGGAGGATGCAGTTATAAGCAGCATGAAGGAATTTTAGACTGGGGGCGGGGGCGGTGTTAATGTACAGTCTAGTCCAGCTTCCTTATTCCACAGAGTCCAAGGCCTGGCAGGTTACAAGAGTCTTTCCTGCTCCATCAGCGAGAGGCATGACCAGAATTAACTCCCTGACAACGCGCTCCTCCCCTAGGCTGCCTCACCTGCTATGGAGGGGTACACCGCTCCTAACCGCCCCCACACGTGCAGTCTGCTTATGGACACGTAACCGAAGACACAACGAAGTTACCTTCCTTACGCGGTTACACCTGCTTATATCACTTTCTCTGAAGTGGAAAAACTACAGTATATGCACTCCACTGCCTTTTAGCATGCTATTACATTAAGCATTAAAACAAATGAAGAACATAACTCTTCCATAATCGTGATAGTTTTCAACCAAGTAACTTCAATTTCTCCCGTTGTTTTTCCAGTCTCCCCACCTCTCCTGTTTTAAATCAGTACACATATTATTTTGTATTCCGCTGTATTCATTTGCCATTACTTGTGGACAATTTACACATTGCTTTATTACTTTCATAATTATTTGGGAAGATCTATAATATTCCATACAGAGACACACAGTTAATTTACTTAACTACTTCCCTATAGTAGAAATTTGAATGTTTCCATTTTTCTTAAAATTATAGGAAATGGTATAATGGGCAAATCTATAACATTTTTCTAAATATAATCTTTTTCTTCTTCTGAATGACTCTCTTAGGATAAATTCCCAGAAGATTTACATAAAACATTATAAATATTTTTATGATTCATTACATACTGCAAAGTGCTTTCCAAAAATTATTTCGGTTTATAATGCCAATCAACAGAATATAAAAACAGCAGTTTCAACAGAAACTTAAATGGAGTTTCAACTGTTACATAATTTTATTTACCAATGGGTACAAACTGGTACACCAGCGTTTCATTTTGCATTGATGTGATTTCTCACACAAAACATTTTCTCTGAGGCTATTACTATTTGTATTTCCTCCTGTGTGAATTAAGATCTATTCAGCACCTCTTTTATGGGACCTGCTTTTTACTGTATTTATCATAATACCTACATATCCTTTATTAAAAGCCATCTCAAATGGTTTGACACAGAGGAAGAATCAAAAATGAATAACTTCTGGGTTCTGACATTCTTCTTAACATCAATTCTTTTAAGTCCATTTACCTAGACGACAAAGGTCCCACTTCTCATGGTAATATCTCTAATGCATTCCAGTTTTAAACTGCTTTTCCAAACAGCTTTTCTTCTTTGTCTTATACAGAATGCTGCTCCTAAGCAAACTGTCTTTATTACAAATTAGGTATATTTCATAATCTCCTAAATTGAATACCTCATTATAGAAAATCCTGGAAGAATAAATATGTGCTGAGTGAGCTTTTAGAAATATGGCCTCTTTTCATTTTTTCAAGGTGGAAAGGGAGGCAGTTTACCTTTGCTTGCTTTTCAATTCTAGGTCCGCTGCTGTCGCTACGCTGTGGCGTGTGTCACTAGAAGCAATCACCAAGTGGAGAACAGCTTCGAGTTCAGGCACCTGTTCAGCTTCTATGAATTTCACTATACCCAATTTGCACTGCAGATAAATGAAGGGAGGGAAAAACGGTGATCAAAGAAACAAATACTACCAACCAAAAATTAATAGTAACAACAGTGGCAGCTCCTGTTTGGGCTTACAATGTGCCAGGGAACTGTATATAACATATATTCATGACTTCATTTAACCCTCACTATCTATGACATAAGTAATATTATACTCATTTTTCTGATGAGGAAACTGAGGCAAGGCTTAAGAGATTAAGGCACATATTAAGTGATGAGAACAAGATTCAAACCAAAGTTTCTCCAAATCGAAGACCATCATGATACACAGCCTTCCTACTCAGGTTACAGTCTCTCTAGAATGATAAAGCCTTGAACTGAAGTCCAAATTTGGAGCCTACAGGTAAGAGATTGGTACATTATAAATAGAGGGCTCAACGGATTGTTTTGACAGTTCAAAAAGAACTAAACCACATTCCATAGAGTTCCACTCTATTGTTAACATATTCATTCTGTCCTCAAAATTCTTAGACTGAAAACAATAGGATTTCAAACACACTCTAGGCAAGGCAAGTGAAATTTTAACCAAACAGTATTCAATCTAATTGAATGGCTAAAATAAAACACAGATCAAAGAAGGATTCTAATTAGAACTTCATGCAATGTGAAGGAGCTATGAATTTCAAAACAAACAATTCTATTTAGGACAAATATGCCTGAAAACTATCTTTACCTTTAAAAATCAGTTATATACCAGTTCTTATGTATATGAATCAAGATTAAGAGAGTTTATAATTATTAAATAATAACATGCAATTTAAAAAGGTATATAAACAGATCATAAAATGCTTGCCTTCCCTCCCCTTGTTCAAAACAACTTACTTGTGGCAAGAGTCACAAGAGAAAAGACTCATTTACTTAAGCCACAGAAGAACAGTTAATGGAAATTAACTAAACAAAGATATAAACAAAAAAATGTGCAAAGAAAACTGAAAATAATACTAATGTCCATCAATAGGAAACTAGTTAAAATCTTACGTGGTTTACACATAATTTTATATAAACATATAAAAAGATGACTTTTTAAAAAAACTTTCTATACTGTTAAATGAAAAAAGTAAACCACAAATACTGTATTATATGTAAATGTATGTAAATGTAATATATAACATATAAAAATGTATTGTATAAAACTGTATTTATATATATATATACACACACAAACATACACACATAGACTAGGCTGTAGATGAATGACAAACTAGGATTTCAGGTCATTTTTAACTTCTCTTTATAATGTTCTGTACTACTTGAATCTTTACATTATCATAATGTTATCATTAGAAAAAATAAAAACCATTTTTATTTAAATAAAAAAAATTTTATTTCATCCTTGAAACTAAATGGTTCATTTAGATTCACTAGATTATAAAATTGACAAAAAACATGGAGAGGACCTTAAAAATTAGCAAATAATTATCAACACAAGATTACAATTTAATGTTAACTATTATTCTCCAGCACTTGGAGCCTGAGCCCTCAGAGAGGCCTAGATTCAAAGCCTAGTAATAGGAGTAAGACCACGGTACATCTCAAAACCTCAATTCCTTTTACAAAATGAAATGATTTCTCTAGCTCCTCGGGTTGACGTAAGGATTAAATGACACAAGGTATTCAAAGTGCTCAGGAGAGTACCCGTCACATCACTCCCACCCAAAAAAGAGGAGCTGCTACTACTATTTACCTTTCTTTCTTACTTACATCATGGTTTGAGAAGGGGAAAAAAAGACCTTTGAAACATGAAGTAAATCTAATCAAATGTAACCCTCGCTGAACAAGTCATTCTATGAATTTTGCGAGTGGAAGCAATCCCCCACTTGCCTTTTTCCCTCTCCTGGGGAACACTGCTTTTTGATCCAAAAAAACACTGCTTTTTTTCAAAAAGAAAAAATATCAAATCACTTAGACTGCCATGGAGAGAGAAAGGAAGGACTGGAAGACTAACCCATGTTGCTTGAATTCCAAAATAATTACATACTGATCTCATCTGTTCTTCCCTGAGGTGCCTGATGACACAGACACAGTGAGGCAACTTCTCTGCAGAGCACCAGTCTTTTTTAAAAGCTGCTCAGAGAACAGCTGTGTCCTGTTTAAATCCAGAATAAAATGCTTAATGCCAATTCTGAAATTCCCAGCAAGAAATATCAAAGGGAGTCATGCTTTTCCCCCATATTGTCACATATGAGTATAGGAGTTCCTCACTTTACACAAAATGTACAGCCCTAAAAAGCTGAATAACCCAAGATAAATTGTATCTTAACTGCACCAAAACAGCTAGATGATTATTAAACCTACAGTTAAAAGCTAAAATGAGTGAAGTTAAACATAGTCCGTTTCTGAGGGGGCTGGATTTCACCCTTGAGCTGTGGACATAACGAAGAGCACTGAAGAGCACTGCCCGCCCCTTCCCTTCCCCTGGGGCTTTAACACATAACTGCCACGATGAAGACAGCACTCGAGGTCAGGCAGGGGTTGCAAAGCTGTTTCACTAGAGAGACTGAGCACATGAGAACTATGGCAGACCTGCTCCCGGGGGGCCCCCCGGGGCCAGCGCACTGGGGCAGGCTCCATTATGAACAAGCAGTGATACCTGTTCCAACTGTTCAGGTGTCCACGGGTTATCACCAATAACTCGCTTAGCTGCATAAAAACTCATTCCTGGGGGAGGCTGGGGTATTCCAGAACCTCCCCCACTATTTGAAGAAGAACCCTGTCCTGAAGATGAATTTTGGCGACTCTGGGATTCATTTAACACATATCTGAAAAGGAAAGAGAAATGTAACCTCCCTATTAAAACACATACATAAACATATATGTGCACATTTAATACATTCAATTTTATACTTTTCTCTGAGAGATTTTTTCTAGAATACTTGAAAGTAAAATTTCATCATAAAGAAAAATTCTGAAGGTATCTAAAAAAGGGTATTTACATCTTTAGCAGATTAACCGTAAGTCCATCTGTTCAGCTTAGTTACAAATGAACTATTACAGTTACCAACAATGAATATAAATATTTTGCTCTCAATCTATAAACAACTCTCTAAGAGCCACTATGGACCTACTACATTTTGAGTTTCAGGTTGACAAATACAGAGAAAGAACAGTTGTTTGTAAGAAGGGTTAAAAAAAAAAAGAAACATTATTCTATATCCAAAGCACGGAACATTTTTACAGTCATTCCCATTTCTGCTAAGTGGCAATTCACCTTTAATTCCTATATCCCATTAGAAAACCCACTGAAACCTCCAAACCACTTACCACACAAGCACATAACACCCCAAAAAGAAAAAAAAACCCAGAGAAAAAGTCATAACAATTAGCTTTTCCCACTGTATGTTCAAAGCCCTCTGTAGCTACTTATTTATTAATTTACCACCCTATTTTCATTTTTAGCTTCTACAGATTAAAAATAAGATTTCTGATAAATTCGTTTTGATCCAGTAAACTGGTATTTCTCATCTACAAAATGAAAATTTTGAAAAAAAAATTTAATTCAAGTCCCTTCAAACTCTAAAATTCTATGCTGATGAATTATCAGACTGGATATTAAAATGAAATACCCATTATAATAAAAATTAAAAATAACACTTAGATTCTGATAGTACAGTAAATTATTCCACATTACTTATATGCTATATCCATTTAATCCTAAATCCATCTATTAAAAAAACCTATTAAGAAATCACTTTAATACTTTTATAAAAATAAGGCAAATTCCCACTGGTAAGAAAAACTGGATTGAGTACATTATGTGCCTAAGTTAAATTTGGATTTGGTAAGAAAAACTGGATTGAGGACGTTATGTGCCTAAGTTAAATTTGGATTTCAAAGTTTATTTACCAAAGCCATCATCACCTGCCAATTCTGGCTGCCTCCTGATTCAACAACTATAAAAAGGAGGTTTTCATTTATTTCTAAGTTAAAGCAAGACTAGTGGCAGTAAGTAAATGAATCAGTAATTACTGAACAGCTAACATTATGCAAAACACCATCTTGAGCACAAGACAGAAGAATACCAGGAAGTGTAAGATCTGGAGCAGGTTGAGATAATAACAGCACATGAGAGCATTTGACATGTTATCACATGACAAAGAAACCACTGAGAAATAAGCAATGATAGGACATGTACTAGAAGTGAACAGGTAGAGGTAGTGGAAGTGTTTCAAGGTCTGGAAAATAAAGCCACCAAACTAGAGGGGCCGGAGGGGGGGCAAACTGGAAAGGGAAAAAATTGTACAGCATGAACCATCTTGTGTCTGGTCAGGGGACAGAGGACAGGAGGCTCCACAGGCTAAGATTATAGTACACATTACCCCTTTGGTCAGGGAAGAAACATAATGAAAGCAGCATTTTAGATAAATATCTCTGGCAGGAGGACAACCTAGAAAGTAAGTAGCCTAGAAGCAGATCACAACCTGGGCCACTGAGCAAGGGACCAGAGCTAGCTAAAACAGCCCTTGACTTCAAGGAGGCCCCAATCTATTAGGGAAGCTGGACATGTCAGCAGTACAATGAAAACACAAAGTGGCAATACAGATGGATGGTTAGTGTAATAAGGATCCGGAAAATAGTGTCCTCTGCCCAAGGCAAGAAATTTGTGTCAGAGACACACACAGCTGACCTCTTAAAGCTAGTCTGAGATGCTTTTTCAAAGCAGTTGTTTTGGCTGTTGTTTTCTTTCTTTCTCCCCTTCTCTTCTGTTGGGCAGGCATTCTAAGCAGAGAGAACTGTATTTTCTTAAAACACGAAAGGCAAGGACGTAAGAGTGCATGAACTGCGTAAGTGTATGTAACGACTGGAAAATAATGCCCCAAGGATTTTAAGGGGGATCTGGTAAGATCTACATTTTAAAAATCAGGGATCCCTGGAGCGCCTCGGTGGCTCAGTCGGTTAAGCAGCCGACTCTTGATTTTGGCTCTGGACATGATCTCAGGGTCATGAGATCGAGCCCCCCCATCCCCACCCCGGAGAGGATTCTGTCCCTCTGCCCGTGCTCTGCCCCTCCCCCACTCAAGCACGAGTGGGCGCACGTGCCCTCTCTCTCAAATAAATAATCTTTACAAAAAATAAAAAATAAAACAATAAAAATCAGGGATCCCTCTGGCAGTGTAGAAAGTTTTGGAGAAGAACAGCTGGAGAGAAAGTCATGACGAGAGCTGAGCAGAGATGAGACCAGCCCGCAGCGGACAGCGTGGTTCCAGGACGAGACAGGGAGCAGAGAGGGGCTACTATGGGACTGGCATTAGCAACAAGGAAAAGGAAAGCTGCAGGCAATTTATAGCTGTACGCAGACATGGCTAAGAGAACCATCACAGCACCGACAGCAGTTAAAGGAAAGAACTATTTTATGGGGAAAAACTGATTTCAGCTGGGACAGGCTGAGTCTGAAACCGTGACAGGAGCTCCACATCTGTAAGGTCAACAAGCAGTGGGGCTGGGGTTTAGAAGAGGTCGGGCCTGCAGCAGAAATGAAAATCTGAGACACATCCATTTTCAAGTGAAAGCTGAATCATTTAAAATAGTATTTAACCCCACACAGTGAAAGCAGTCACCGACAAGGTCGCTGGGTTTTATTTTGAACCTACCCATAAGGCATCAGAAGGACATCTAGCATGAAGTCCAAAAGCAGCTGCACGGTCTTTGGTTTCTCAGCAAGATTAAACGGAGAAGCTGATTTTGATGATTCAACAGGGTATTTCATGTGAAAAAGGGTTGGTATTAAAAGATGCATTAAGCTGAAAAAACAATTACATTTATTGCAACTACTTTAAAAATAAGGTTTTCATACATGCAAATAACAGACAAAACAAAAATCACATTAACAAGAAGTGGCAAGTGCAGCAATGGCCCTGCACTTTCAGAACCACCGATTTACAAAGTCCTAATCTAGGAACTGGCCTCGCTTTCTTTGTTATTGAAACCCCAGCGTGCTGGGTGATGTGATGACTGCCGTTTAGCCACTCCGACTCATTACCAAAAACACTAGGAAAAAGATATACATAATATGCCCTCAGTGCCAGTATCTAAAGTTACCAAAAGAGATTTTTCTATTAAACTTTAGGTATAGTTCAACTTATAACATGTTCCTTCAATAATTTTTTTCTTCTCCAGTTAATTAAAATATTCTAAATCTAAAGAAATTAAAAACCGATCCTGTTAATATTTTGAGTATGAAAATTTCCAATGTGTGAACTTATATAACACAGCTTCAGTAATTCCTTCTTTCATTACACATGAAAACCTCAAAAAGTGCTTGTACTGTTTATTAATTTTATTTGTAAAGATCCGTACGATAGTCTCTTTTAAAAATACATGTGCTCTAAAAAAGCAAAGTAAAACCATCATTTACCTCCACCTTCCCTCCACAGCTTCTGCACTCTTCCTGATGATGCTCACCATGACCAGGCTACACTACAGAACTTTGAGCCAAATCTGAAACTAAGGGTGTTATCCAAACCTTTTCACCCCTCCAATGCCCATATTAATACAAACAAGTGATCTGTTCCTTAAAACTGCTCTAAAACTTCATATGCTCCAAGACAGAAATGTTTTGATGAAAAGCACTTTATGACTAATTTGTGCAATCACATGAAATTAGCCTCTTCAAAATAACTGACAAAATAAATGCATCTAGATTGAGAAACATGTTTTTAGTTCTGCACACATTTTAACATGCTCGCATCAAGAAAGTTGATAATTACCAAAACAGTAACATTGAGGTGACACAGAAAATTCAATCATCTGTCAGCTGAAAGAGCTCAAGCCTTCACATTAGCCCAAGTAAAACCAAATGTGTGACTCTGTGTTTGAGAGGTAGCTGTTGACTCATGCAGGTGGGAGAGAAGGTAATTGAGGACACCATACCTATCCTGCTGTGGCTGAGGCTTCCCTTCCATGGCAGTAAGAAGCGTAGGGGCCAGTTCACATTGTTTTTCCACTGGCAGGCGAGGATAGCCCATCTTAACATAAATTATAGTAAAATTCTAACACGAGAGAAAAGCAAGTGAGCATGAAGGAAATATTCTAGGATTTCAATGAAAACACATGGCTGATAACTTAGGGAGATACGTTATAACAAAGAAATCACATTCTCTCTCCATAAATTTATCACATGTTTATTTATTACAGCTTCAACTATGACATCTCAGGAAGAATTCCAGCCCTACTTATTCAAAATGTTTGCTTTAAGATGTACTTAATGTGAGAGAGCATGACCTAATCTAAAGCACTCATGCATACATATATCAAACTTCATGTTTTTTCACTTTAAATATATACAATTTTGTCAATTACGCCTCAATAAAGTTGGGGGGGATAAAAGCACGCAAATATGCAATTTTCGTTGAAAAGAAAAAGTCATCATTTGGCCCATCTGAACCTACATACTACACATTAGCATCAGAGCTCCCAGCTTGTTGCACTAATCCTTTCAAGCAAAGAGGAGACCACCTGTGAAATCCTAGGCTGCCGTTTCCCAACCAGTCAGTTCCTACAGCCGCCTTATGGCAGTACTCTGGTTCCTCGTTCCGGTAACTGACCAATGGATGATGAACCAAGGGAAACTGAGTGCTGTGGGTATTTTTCTATCACTAGAATCCATATGAATGCTTCATTCTAAGCAAATTCATACATGCATATCTGGATCTATGCATAAGACAAAAACTGGCTTTTCTAAAAGGATCCTTCACTTCAGAATAGGCCTCATAAGGTTATTCTTTGGGAGACATTCTATTTGGCAGTTTTATGGGCACACAGTGTGTCTCTCTGCGTGCAGTAGGAGCTTCTGTAATGAAGCTGTACGTCCAGAGCAGGCACAGAAAAGATCTCTGCACCAGTAGGTGGCTCCGAAGGTTTGGAACCCAGACGTTAGACGATACTCAACAGGTTGAACCTCAGTGCTAGGAGCAACAGGGCCACAAAAAAAACATGCGACATCACAGGACATCAACATTTTTATACAGCTCCATTTCAGGAAGATGACCACTGAAGAGGAACATTTCTTACCAGCCTCGGTTACTTCACTTTCAAAGAGCATACCTTTCTGAATGTATCAGAGACAGAATTTTTTAAAATTCAGCTTCCTGTCCTTGACAGTCGCCCTTTCCTCCTCCTCTTATTGTTTATTCATGCCCATGCTGCATAACTCTGCCTTCTCTCTGTTCAGACTGGCCTCGTACAACCTTTTACTACGAATCAAATCCTTCCTTTATATCAGCAAACCTGAGGAGTCATTTCACCAGCCTTCCTGTGCCCGATGTAGACAACCATGCCTTATCCCACACCTACCACTTCAGTGGAAAAAACGTGTGTCATCTGAAGAAAAACACCTCCTGTTTCATTTAGAATTAGTCTGAGGTGAAATTCTAAACCTGCCCATATACTGATGACATCTAATAAACGTTAGGAGAGAAAATTCACTGTAAGTCAGAAATATGCCAAGAAAACACTCACTGTGACAAAGGAAACTGCAGCAGGGTCCTGGTATTGAACCAACAGTGTCTCTACCGGGAGCTGTATTTTGGGGCGGCTTTTTATACGCTTATTCAGATGGACCAGCAGTTCCATTACCTAAGATACAGAAAGATATGAACTGAAATTATTGATTCCTTTAAAACAAATTCATTTCTCAACCACTATTTAATTTGATGAATAGCAGCTACTTTGTTTTTTTCAAGGACATAAATGTGACATCCCAGAAAGGGAATTTACAGTATCAGGGTCTTGTTCCAAAATGCTGTGTCCCCCAAAGCTGGGATCCTGTGTGAGCCTACACTGAGGCACAGCCCCCCAGGACCCCTGTGAATAAAATGACTGCAACACACCATGCCACGAGTGGAATGTTTGTGTTTCCCCAAGACGCATCTGTTGAAGCCCTAATCCCCAGTTTGATGGTTTTAGGAGATACTTAGTTTTGGCTAATGTCATGGGGGTGGAGCCCCCACGATGAGACTGGTGTCCTAATAAGGGGATGAAGGGATTAGAGTCCTGTCTCTTCCCCTCATGAGGATGCAGCAGAGAGGCTGCCCTGTCAACTAGGAAGGTCCATCCATGAGGAACCCGACATGCTGGCACCCTGACCTCAGACTCCCAGCCTCCGGAATGCTGAGAAATAAAGTGCTGTTCAAGTCACCCGGTCTGTGGCCTTCTGTTACAGCAGCCCAAACGGACAAAGACACACCGTGAATGTGACAATATGAGAAACAGACGACATACTGTGGGTTTCCAGAAAAGACTCTGCCAGATCAAGGAGGACTTAGGGAGGAAGTGACAGAACACTGAATCCTGACAACCAGATGAATTTCCAAGCAGAGAATCAGTTATAAGAAGGAATGAGGACTAAAAGAATATAACATACTGCATGTGACTGACACACAGAGTGATAAGAGATAAAAGAAGAGCCCAGATTATAAAAGGACTCAGGTAAAATGATGGAGAATTTTTGCTTTATTTTGAAGATCATCTGATTCTACTAAAGCAATATAAGTAATAATAAGCTTCCTCTCTTTCAAGTGGGAAAAGAGAAGAGAGATCTGCAAGTCAATAATTCCCATGGGTGGAAAGCAAAATCCAGAAGCTTATGTCAAATGGCCCCAATCTTACTCTAAGAGTGAGATTATCTTGCTACGAGAGAAGTGAGAAACTGAGCATTGAAAAATGACATTTTTAGGGGCGCCTGGATGGCTCAGTCGGTTAAGCGCCTGCCTTCGGCTCAGGTCATGATCTCCAGGTCCTGGGATCGAGCCCCATGTCGGGCTCCCTGCTCGGCAGGGAGCCTGCTTCTCCCTCTCCCTCTGGCCCTCCTCCCTGCTTGTGCCTCTCTCTCGCTCTATAAATAAATAAATCGCTCTCAAATAAATAAAATCTTAAAAAAAAAAAAAGGAAAGAAAAATAACATTTTTAGAAAGCCTCACCTGAGAAAGACTCAAGGATTTAAGGTATCTGTTCTGGAGGGCCAGGCCTATACACTGTTCTCCATCATTTCTAAAATGTGTGCTCTAGCTTCAAAGCAAGTATTAAAGAGAGTTATAGAGGGGTACCTGGGTGGTTCAGTCAGTTAAGCGTCCAACTCTTGATTTTGGCTCAGGTCATGATCTCAGGGTGGTGGGATCAAGCCCTGTGTGGGGCTCTGTGCTCCACAGGGTGTCTGCTTGCCCCTTTCCTTTTGCCCCTCTCCCCACTTGCGTGCTTGCTTGGGCACACTCACTCTCTCTCTCTAAAATAAATAAATAGGGGCACCTGGGTGGCTCAGTCGGTTAAGCGTCTGCCTTCAGCTCGGGTCACGATCCCAGAGTCCTGGAATGGAGCCCCACGTCAGGCTCCCTGCTCAGCGGGGAGTCTGCTTCTCCCTCTGTCCCTCACCCTGCTCGTGCTCGCTCTCTCTTGCTCTTTCTCAAATAAATAAATTTTAAAATTAAGTAAATCTTTTAAAAAATAAATAGAATTGTAGGACTATCCCTGGCAACAACAAAAGTTCAAGTGAATCTAGAGCAATAATGAAATGTGAATTTTAATAACAACAACAAAGCCTGCTTCTCCCTCTCCCAATCCCCCTGCTTGTGTTCCCTCTCTTGCTATCTCTCTCTCTGTCAAATAAATAAAAATCTTAAAAAAACAGGAGCACCTGGGTGGCTCAGTTGGTTAAGCGACTGCCTTCAGCTCAGGTCATGGTCCTGGAGTCCCGGGATCGAGTCCCACATCGGGCTCCCTGCTCGGCAGGGAGTCTGCTTCTCCCTCTGACCCTCCTCCCTCTCATGCTCTCTGTCTCTCATTGTCTCTCTCTCAAATAAATAAATAAAATCTTTAAAAAAAAAATGTATAATCTATGTTTAATGAATAATGAAATAGCTGACATTTATCAAACAGTTTCTGTACAGAACACACCTCTGCATAGCACTCTGCATTTCCTATCTGATTCTCACAACCAGAGAGACGGTATTGTCATTCCCATTTCACAGGTGAGGAAGCAGAGGCTCAGGGGACTAAAGTAACTTATCCTAGGACACTGAGCCACCAGGTGGCATAGTAAAAATCTGATTCCAACACTGACAGTCGAGCTCAATTCATCTGAAGTGTCTGTCACCATGAGACATCCTTGGAACCACTAATATACCTTACAGAGACCTAGAAACTTGCATTACCACACATACTCATCTCAACTTCCTAGCTGTCCAGACCTAAGATACAGCTGACTGACAGAGAAAAGAATCAGGAGGAACCAGGCTCAAGAAACAGCCCTCGTCTGACAATCTAATCTAGACTGAGTCCTGGCAGAGCTCTATGGGAAATCATTATTAGTGACAATCATGCCCACAATCACACACTTTCTTTTTATGATAATTTTTTTCTTACTTTAAATAAACGACAGGGGCACCTGGGTGGCTCAGTCGTTAAGCGTCTGCCTTCAGCTCGGGTCATGATCCCAGGGTCCTGGGATCAAGCCCCGCATCGGGCTCCCTGCTCCGCGGGAAGTCTGCTTCTCCCTCTCCCACCCCCCTGCTTGTGTTCCCTCTCTTGCTATTTCTCTCTCTGTCAAATACATAAATAAAAATCTTAAAAAAAATAAGTAAATAAATAAATGAACATTAAAAAAAAAAATCAACCCCAAACCAACCTTCCCCATGGACAACAATCAGTAAACCTACAGAATCACCAGCCTCAGGTATACAGTATCTTGTCTATATCAGTTCTTACTACTCGTGTATTTATAATTCATTTATTCATTAATAAGCTTTTTAATTGAAGTATAAAACATAACTAAAGTGTACAATTGAGAGTGCATGGCCCAATAAATTTTCATAGAGTAAGCACACCTGGAACCACAAAAGCCCTGTCTACCCCATGCCCCTTCACTCACTAACCCCTCTTCCCCAAAAGTTACCACTATCCTGACTTCGAACACCATTTTTTTAAAGATTTTATTTATTGGCGAGAGAGTGTGAGCGAGAGAGAGCACAAGCTGGGGAAGGGGCAGAGGGAGACGGAGGGACCGAGGGGAGGGAGCAGTGGACTCCCCGCTGAGCAAGGACCCCCCCCCCCATGCAGGACTCGATCCCAGGACCCTGGGATCATGAGCTGAGCCGAAGGCAGGCGCTTAACGACTGAGCCACCCAGGCATTCCTCGAACACCATTTTTAAATTTCTGTAAATGGAACACATAAAGCATTCAGACACGAGTTCGCCTTATTTGCCATCGTGTCTGGGACTCACCCATGCTGCTGCTCATAGCAGCAGTTCACTTTCACTGCTCTAGTAAGGAGATCCCGTCATTTATCCACTCTCCTACTGACAGACGTGAGATTATTTCCAGTTTGGGCTATTACCAATAATGCTGCTATGAACATTCTTAGATATGCTTTTAGTGCACATATATACATAATTCTGTTATATATGACCTCAGGACTGGATATGCGTCATGGAGTACGCATAGGATAAGCTTTCGAGTATTTCCAAACAGTTTTCCAAAATGGTTATACTAATTTACACACCAACCAGCAGTCTGTGAGAGTTCCAGTCCAACCTTGTCAGTATGTGGTATGGGCAGTCTTTAATTTTAGATATTCTAATGACAGCCTACATTTAAAGTTGGCTATGAAGTAAAATTCTACATAACAAACCTTGTTTTCCTTAAAATAGCAAATATACTCTAATATGTCACTAGAAATCTAAAACTTTTATTTCTCTTTCACTCAGTTTATCCACAAATTACCACCTACCCTTGCAGGGTATCCTGCTTAAGTCTAATGTGCATCATGACACTGATAGTTAGGAACCCAAAAATTACACAACTGACAATCAATACAAGTTTTCATCAATCACAAAATTTCACACATTGAAATTATGTGTACATGAGCTTTCAAATTGCTGCCCACTGGCGTCCCTGTTTCCTCTCCCCAAAGCCTGACCACCTATCACTCCTATCACTGGGTGCACTGGGTGGCCCTCAGGTCCCTGAAGTCGTCCCACACTGTTCTAGCTCAGAACATCCACACAGGGCCTGCTGTATCTTATATGGTCTTCCCATCTCTCTGTCTGGCTACTTCCTACACACCACAGAGGCCTTCCTTATGCCCCACATTCAGTTTAAATCAAGTCCTCAAATATATTCTTTCAAAGATCCTTTTCTATCTTGGCACTTATTACAATTTATAACTGGATACTGTCTGTGACTGTTTAATACCAGTCTCCCCAACTAGATGTTTCTTTCATTCACTAGCGTGAATTCTGCTAGTTACCTAGCAGAAACGAACTCATGAGGGGCCTTTTAGTATAACTTGCTCTCCTGAGGGTAACAGAAAGCCACAGAGGAGTTTTAAATAGGACAGTGACAGGATCAAATACATATGTGTTCAGCAAAGCAGTGTTAACAACAGGCACGTCAAATACCTGATGAGAATGTCCTGTCTCTTCCTGCAAACATAACAGATGTTCTTAAAGAGACTCTTTGTCCAATAAACCCAAATTGGGCCTCAGAATCCCTCTCAGGGCAGACCTCCAAGGAGCCATTTCCAATCAATCACAGTGGCCCAAGGGATGAAACTTGATGACAGCTCTAAGACCTGAAGGTCTAGTATAAATACACCAGAAGACTAATGAACTATTTTAAAAATGAAGGGGGCAAATGTTCCCTGCAGAACATTTAGGTTAAAAAAGAAAATCTTGGGGCACCTGGGTGGCTCAATCAGTTAAGTATTTGTGCCTTGGGCTCAGGTCATGATCCTGGGGTCCTGGGATCGAGCCCTCCCTGCTCATCAGGGAGTCTGCTTGTCCCTCTCCCTCTGCCCCTCCCCCCACCAGCTTGTACTTTCTCTCACTCTCTGTCTCAAATAAATAATGAATCGTTGAACACTACATCAAAAACTAATGATGTACCGTATGTTGGCTAACTGAACATAATAAAAAAAACCTCTACACCTGAAAGTAATATTACACTGTATGTTAACAAACTGGAATTGAAATAAAAACTTGAAAAATTAAAAATAAACAAAAATAAAATAAATAATAAATAAAACCTTAAAAAAAAAATCTTGATGTGATAGTTACCCAACTTTTGGTGACAGTACTTCAGAATCCTAAAACAGGAGCTGTACGGTATTTTGCTTTTTAAAAAAATTATTTTGCTTAATTTTCATGAAAGTTGTATTCATAGTCAGCCAAAGCTAAAGAATATTTTTGCCCCATTACCACCTGACTTTCATATCGGAATCAAGGGCATGGCTTTTAGATCAAGCCTCCACATACACGGAATAACGATCTCAATTCTATCATCGGGCACTGGGGCCAAGTGTACGGCTGGCACTAAATGCAGCTGTGCTAAGCATACAAAAGCTACGTTTAAGTCACGTAAGCTGGTCCCAGACTCACTCTCCACTTTGAAAGGCCATAATGAGACCATGAACCTGGATGTCAATAATGAGAACAGAAAACTCACTTCATAATATACACCCATTTACTCACCATTTAACTCCCCCAACCGTCCCAACATGCTTACCTTTTTGCGTACTCCTTCTTGGGTGCTGGACAGTTTGAGCAAAACAGGAGGAAGGAATTTAGATATAATATTCTGTAATTGTTCATCTGTTTCAGCATGGCCAAGTCGTAAAAAGACCCGTTCAAGCTGATCTATAATATAAGAAGAAAAAAAGAACTTAACAAATCAAACACAACCAAAACTAGGTATTTTTATAGCTTAATCCTTTTCCTGTACTACAGTTCACTCAGTCATGATTAACCACAACTAGCCCTGTATGCAGATGACTCTGACATAGTAGGACACAACACTAAAAAAGGTTTACTACTGGGGCGCCTGGGTGGCTCAGTCGTTAAGCGTCTGCCTTCGTCTCAGGTCATGATCCCAGGGTCCTGGGATTGAGCCCCACATGGGGCTCCCTGCTCAGCGGGAAGCCTGCTTCTCCCTCTCCCACTCGCCCTGCTTGTGGTTCCCTCTCTCGCTGTGTCTCTCTCTGTCAAATAAGTAAATAAAATCTTAAAAAAAAAAAAAAAAGGTTTACTAGTTATTTATACTGTCTTACAACTGTCCTGGTCATTTAACCCCTAGAAGAGAGGAAAACAAAGCCAAGAGTATCAAAATTCTCTTCTACATATAGTTATTCCTTTTTTCTAAAGGATTTGTATACTGAAAAAAATACAAAAATTTTGAAGAAATCTTCTAGATCTAGCTAGCAATGGGAAGGAGAACTTTAATCAGACACCAGGGACAATATCTGTTTGGTGAAGCCACCTTACTGATGGAAGTTTCTCCACAGACAGAACCACTGCCCACTACTGTGGTGGGATTACCTAAGCAGAATGTGACAGACCAGTTTCAACCAAGAAAGCCTCTATGAGAGGAACATGTTGAACAGCACCACCGTGATGCTCTCGGCAAAACCCAGACTGTGACAAAGTACAGAACAGGTAGGCAGAACATTCCAAGGGAGGGGAGGGGTAGGGACAGGGGAACCTACCATTTGCAAATGCCTGGATATTTTATTTTAAGGAATTACTGTTAATTTCTTAGGTGTAATAACGGTATTGTGGTTTATGTTTGTTTTTCAAGATTCTTATAAAAATTATCACTTGTGATTGAGGAGACTTCTGAGGGGCTAGAAATGCCCTGTATCTTGTTCTGGGTGATGGTTACAAAAACATATAGCTTGATAAAAATTCATCAAGCTCTACACTTTCATACTCTCTACTCTATTATACCTCAATTTAAAATTTTATTTAAGAGAGTATTTTTTAGAGATCAAGACTGAAATATCTATAGGTGAAATAATATAGTTACTGGGATTTACCTGAAATAACCAAAGGTGTACTGGAAATTTGCTAAGAGAGTAAATTTCAGCTCTCACCACACATACACAAAAAGATAACTATGTGAGAAGATGTATTAATTAGTTTGACTACAGTAATCATTCCACATGTACATATATATCAAATCATCACGATGTACCCCTTAAATATACACAATTTTTATTCTTTTAATATAAATAAAGTAATAGCCTCATTTGGGTCTTCATAAAAAAATAATAATCACGGGCAGAGGGGTGAGGCATGGGGAGAGGCCATATAAATGAAACCAAGATTGGCCACTAATCGATAATTGTTCAAGCTGCATGACAGATACTGAGAATTTGTACTTTTGTGTATGCTTGACGTTTTCCAAATTTTTCAAAGACGCACACACACAGAACATAGAGGCAAGACATTCTGGTAGCAACAAGCACACCCTGCACCCAAATCCTGGTTGTTAAATACCATTCTCCAAAAAGAGGAACCAGGCTCCTTGAAAAAATGACGGATTCTGGGGCTGGAGCACTGAAAAAGCAAGATGACCCCGAAGCATTTTGTCATGCTAGAAAGAAAATGGGGCGTGAAACACATCAAAGGTCTCCAGGAGCCACCTGAAAGAGTTCCAATATGGCCAAGGCTGGAATAATTTGAGGAACAAAATAAGTAACACAGAACTGGATTATAACCCAAAGTATAAAATTAATCTACATGAATCCATGCCGATGTAAAGAAATCATTAAATGATGAAATTCACTGGGGGGAAAAGAAACACATCTTTCTTCTAAAAGAATTCCAAATAATGCATGTAGGTACCTCCCCCTGCAGGAGGTATGGCTTCATTTCTGCTTCTACCCTCTCTGAAAGGGTAGACTAGGTTTAGTGACCTGCTTCCAAAGAACAGAAAAAGGAAAAAGGAAAAGGTTGATGCTACAGTGGAGACACGTGATAAATACGATCTCTACCAAGTGATGAACGTTAACACCATGACTGATGTCACAGGGCTATCATGATCCCTGATAGGATGTGACAAGAAGGGCACTGCACCTCTGTGGTATTCTTTCAAAAGCCCCAGACCCCCCATCTCATTATCAGTAAAACCACCAGAAAAACCCAAATTGGAAGAGCTTCTACAGGATATCCAGCCAGTACCGCTCCAGGCTTCAAGATGGTGAAACACAAGGAAAGACTAAGACACTGTCACAGACCAGAGGAGACCGGAGAGACAACTAAGCACAGGGTGGTGCCCTGGGTTGGATCCCAGAACAGAAAGAGGACATTAATGGGAAAAAGTGGTGAAATCCAAATAAAGTCTCAAAGTTAGCCCAAAGCTCAATGGTAAAGGAAGAAAAGAGTAAAGAAGAAGGAAGGAGGAAAAGGCAGGCAGGACGGCTGTGAGAGCAGCAGATGAGATGATTCTACGTGGTGGCTGTGCAATCAGTCTGCGGCACTCGTGCCAACACAGGAGGCTCTGCCCCAGTGCCTCTCAGATCTCAGGCAGCAAACACTGCCCACAGATTTTAGCTACAGAAACGATGGAAGAATCATTCTGGGGAAGAAGGCAGAAAGTTAAATTCCTCATAACAAACTGACGTAGACAATCTGTACCAAAGGCTTAAAAAGGCAAGTGATACCGGTCTCTTTCGTTTTTCAAACAACCATTCGGTTTCTTCCTATGTCTCCCCAGTATAGTGCCTAAACTTTCCGCTCTCCCTCACTAGGAAAGAAAATGTAGCATCCTAAATTCAATAAAATTATTTATGATGGGACCATGGGAATGCCAAAAGGGCACCAAGCATCATATGGAGTCCCTCCAAAACGGGCCAAGTATACCAGAGGAAGAGTTAAAGCCTCCTACACCCTTTGAGGAGGATCAGTGTAACACTCTTATGCCATCTTTAGATACACACCATACTTTAAATAAAAGGTAATTAATCATGTTCAAGCTTTATGAAAAGAAATGTAAATAAGTCCTGATATAATCAAGTACTAAAATTATCAACCCGTCAAAGCTAACAAAATTAAAAGTAAAGATTTAGCAATAGTATGTTCTCTGAATCCTGTTTTTAGAGGCACAGAAAGAATGTGAACTCCAGGGACGCCTGGGTGGCTCAGTCAGTTAAGCAGCTGCCTTCAACTCAGGCCATGATCTCAGGGTCCTGGGATCGAGCCCCACTTAGCTCTCTCTGCCTCCCCCCGGCCCCGCCCTGCTCATGCCCATGCTCTCTCTCTCAAATAAACAAATAAAATCTTAAAAAAAAAAAAAAAGGTATCTGAATTCTGTGCCCTTACCCAACCCAGGAAACAACCTCATGAAAGTGACAAGGCAAATTAGGCCTAGGACCCCAAAAGTGTCTATTCAGAAACAAGAAGGATTGTAACCAATTAGACAATCTGGAAGAAACAGATGCATTCCTATAGAAGTATAAACTACCAGAACTGAACCAGGAAGAAATAGAAAACCTGAACAGACCCATAACCAGTAAAGAAATTGAAGCAATAATCAAAAATCTCCCAAGAGCCCAGGGCCAGATGGCTTCCCAGGGGAATTCTACCAACCATTTCAAGAAGAATTAATACCTATTCTTCTGGAACTGTTCCAAAAAACAGAAATGGAAGGAAAACTTCCAAACTCATTTTATGAAACCAGCATTACCTTGATCCCAAAACCAGACAAACACCCCATTAGAAAGGAGAATTACAGACCAATATCCCAAATGAACATGGATGCAAAAATTCTCACCAAAATACTAGCCAATAGGATCCAACAGTATAATAAAAGGCTTATTCACCACGACCAAGTGGGATTTATCCCTGGGCTGCAAGGTTGGTTCAACACCCGCAAATCAGTCAATGTGATACAATACATTAATAAAAGAAAGAACAAGAACCATATGATCCTCTCAATAGACACAGAAAAAGCATTTGACAAAGTACAGCATCCTTTCTTCATTAAAACTCTTCGGAATGTAGGGATAGACGGTACATACCTCAATATCATAAAAGCCATCTATGAAAAACCCACAGCGAATATCATACTCAATGGGGAAAAACAGAGCTTTTCCCCTAAGGTCAGGAACACGGCAGGAATGTCCACTATCACTACTGCTGTTCAACACAGTACTAGAAGTCCTAGCCTCAGCAATCAGACAACAAAAAGAAATAAAAGGCATCCAAACTGGCAAAGAAGAAGTGAAACTCACTTTTTGCTGATGATACGATACTTTATGTGGAAAACCCAAAAGACTCCACCCCAAAACTGCTAGAATTCATACAGGAATTCAGTAAAGTGGCAGGATATAAAATCAATACACAGAAATCAGTTGCATTCCTATACACCAACAGACAGAAGAAAGAGAAATTAAGGAGTCGATCCCATTTACAATTGCACCCAAAACCATAACATACCTAGGAATAAATCCACCAAAGAGGCAAAGGATCTGTACTCAGAAAACTATAGAATACTCATGAAAGAATTGAGGAAGTCACCAAGAAATGGAAAAGCGTTCCATGCTCATGGACTGGAAGAACAAATACTGTGAAAATGTCTGTTACCTAGAGCAATCTACACATTTAATGCAATCCCTATCAAAATACCATCCACTTTTTTCAAAGAAATGGAACAAATAATCCTAAAATTTGTATGGAACCAGAAAAGACCCCACATAGCCAGAGGAATGTTGAAAAAGAAAAGCAAAGCTGGCGGCATCACAATTCCGGACTCCCAGCTCTATTACAAAGCTGTCATCATCAAGACAGTATGGTACTGGCACAAAAACAGACACATAGATCAATGGAACAGAACAGAGAGCCCAGAAATGGACCCTCAA